TGACTGATGCATCAAGAAAGTAGTCTATTTTATTAAATTGGTTTAGCCTTTTGTGAAAGCAAGAAATGAAGAAGTATTTTCTGCAGTGCTACTCCTTTCCTTTCCATTCTTACAAACTTTTATTAATATGGCATTACACAGTGTCCCCTTTAAGTGTTTAAGGAATATTAAGTCTGTTTTTCTCCTTTTAGGACGCACAATGTATGTTATACCATTCTCGATGGGACCCGTTGGTTCTCCACTATCCAAGATCGGCGTGGAGGTCACCGACTCCCCGTACGTGGTTTACTCTATGAGGGTCATGACAAGAATAGGTTTGTAGTTGTCAAATTATTATTTTTTTCCTTAATGATCCACAACAAACGGCCTGTTTCCATTTAAAAGTAAATTTAGGATATAAATTAGCTGTCAGTAACTTAAATAAAACACTTTTAACGGTTTAAAAATCGGAATAGTTAACTTATTTATAGATCGCTGTAATAAATGCATTTTAAACCGTAAAATGCGTTTTATTTAAATAAATTGACTACATTTCTTCACCACAAAGATAGAGAAAAGATAAGGGAGGTTCTTCTTAAACTTTAAATCAATACCATTGTATCAAAACACATACCTTACATACTTAGTTTGCCTTGATTATAAATAACTTTTCCATCAGGAGCGTCTGTGCTGGAGGCACTCCGTAAAGATGAGCACTTCGTCCGGTGTCTGCACTCCGTGGGCCGTTCGGATAGCCCAACTGTGGGATGGCCTTGCGATCCAGCCCGGACCATCATCCTCCACCGGCCTGCAGATAACGAAATCGTTAGCTACGGTTCGTACAATTATATATGTTACCATTAGAAAATACTGGACATAAATAAAACGTTGATAGAAGTGCGGCCTAGTTTTGGGGGGACTAGAAATGTATATTTTGGAAGAATCATAAAGAATTTAGATTTTTCGGGTATAGGGTTAATTTCAAACTAAGAAAATTAAAGTCATGTCGATTTCTATTTTATAATTTATGCCATTTAAATAAAACAATCTTTTTTCATCTTGCCTCCTAAAATTAGTTTAAATGATTCTTTTACGTATTCCTTAACGTTAGTCAACCATTTTCTATAGAATGTACAATTATATATATGATTACAGGTAGTGGCTACGGAGGCAACAGTCTGTTGGGAAAGAAGTGCTTCGCCCTTCGTCTGGGGTCCGTGTTGGCGAGGCGTGAAGGCTGGCTGGCTGAACACATGCTGGTAATTAAAATAGCATATTAGCTGACTCGGCAAACGTTGTTTTCTTTGCAAAATTAATATTAATACAACTCTAATAAATAATTGCTAATAACGCGTTAATTTCGACCAAATTTGATTACGATATATACGTTCTTGCGCGTTAATCTTCGAAGATTGATACTAGCACGGATTTTTTTTTAGATCACTGAAAGAGGAATTTGCAACCGTCAAATTGCACGTTTTTCTCACTTTAAATTAATTGTAAAAATATTTGTTCAATTCGAAATACTTAGTAGTTCATGAGATTAGCGCATTCAAACAAACAAACAAAATGTTCAGTTTTATATATTAGTATAGATAGATATATGTGGTAAAGATGCACCACGTGCCGTAACGCGTTACGTAACGAAACGGTTCATATTACGACCATCGCAAGTTACCACTTCAACGTGCAAATGTTTGAATGAGAGTTTCTTGCACAGATTGTAGGCGTGACAGATCCGAAAGGTCGCAAGCGGTACATCGCCGCCGCGTTCCCATCAGCTTGCGGAAAGACGAACCTCGCGATGATGACTCCTACTCTACCTGGGTACAAAGTGGAGTGTGTGGGTGACGACATCGCGTGGATGAAGTTCGACAAACATGGCGTCTTGAGAGCCATCAACCCGGAAAATGGTTTCTTCGGTGTTGCTCCAGGTAAAGTTTTACCATGTTAGCCCCATCATAATAAGAAATATATATAACAAATCACTGCTTATAATTGACTGGTTTTTAGCTATTTTCAGCAAAGTAATGTTAGGTTTTAAGAAATAATAAACGTTCTTTTTCGTATTTACATTACAGACACACTTAACATGAATAACGATGTTAAGTGTGTCTGTATAAGGTGTCTGGTTTATAATTTTCATAATGGAATAAGATTTATTTTTAAATTTTTAGTGATTTCAGCTATCTCTGAATACGTTGTACACGGTAGTAGGTAGTTCTTTTGTTGAAATGAAACACTTTAACGGTTTAAAACGCGATATATTTAAGTTAAACTTGATTAAAAATTATTTTTAACTACGGCCCGACATTTCGGATGCTTTGCAGCAGCCGTGGTCACGGGGAGTTCTTTTGTACTAACACAAACGCGTTTCCGTTTGCATCATTCTTACACATAAAAAATGTAATAATTTTAACATAAGACAATATTGTAAAGGCACTTCAAGTTCAACGAACCCCATCGCCATGGCATCAGTATTCCAAAACACAGTATTCACTAACGTCGCCGAGACCAATGATGGCGGTGTGTGGTGGGAGGGAATGGGAGACGCCCCGGAAGGCATTACTGACTGGAAGGGAAAGCCCTGGGACAAGACTATGAAGATCCCGGCCGCACATCCTAACTCAAGGTAAAGACAAGGAAAAACCAAAAAGTGACTGCCATCTGACTTTTAATTTTACTAAAATTGTTAGGTCTTGTGATCGTTACTTAAAAGTTTTTAAAAGTAAATTTTTAATTCAAACTTCTTTTAGATTCTGCACACCAGCAAGCAACTGTCCCATCATAGACGGAGACTGGGAGAGCTCTGAAGGAGTACCAATATCCGCCATATTACTGGGCGGGCGGCGCCCAGCCGGTGTACCACTAGTCGTCGAAGCTAGAGACTGGGCCCACGGCGTCTTCCTTGGCGCTTCCATGAGATCTGAGGCGACTGCTGCTGCAGAGCACGCTGTAAGTAATTAACAGAGATATCAAAAACACCCGATGTCGCATAGCCTAGTACTTAATAAACGTCATTTGATCAACCCGATGGGTTGCAACGCAGGCGCAGATTTATATAAAACTACCCACCTTATTATTTTCTATTTGAGCTACCGATAGAAGATCGGGTGATCAGTCTACACTATCAGCAGACCATTTCACTCATTCCTTGCAGAGGACTTTGGGTTATCCAACTCTTACTATGTACCTTTAAACATTTAGGTTTGCTTGCAGAATCTTATTACTTAATTAACTTCCTTTAAGATTAAGCTAACTTCCATCCATCCATTACCTCATAGATCAATAAATAATATAAATCTTGTTTATTTGTCCACAGAGCAAAGTTGTAATGCACGACCCATTCGCAATGAGACCATTCTTCGGCTACAACTTCGGGGAGTATTTGAGACATTGGCTGTCGATGCCACAAGCTGGAAGGCAGATGCCCAAGATATTCCATGTTAACTGGTTCAGGAAGGATCAGCAGGTAAGGACCAACAGTCTGTAGACTTTTTGGGGTTCACACTCAGAAACTCTTGTGACTCAAATATATGCCTAAATATATATTTTGGCTATTTACATAAAGACAAGATAGATCGTCAGTGCGTCATTGTTTGGATGTGCTATGGCTAGGATGTTTCTTCTTCAATGAAGTGAATCCCACGCGTGTGTTTCTTCTATCATAAAAAATAATAATAAAAAAGTCTTACAAACTCTTAATTGTGTTCAATAATTTTAGATTGATTGAATTTAAATGCCTTTTCGAAGATTACTACTATATTATAACTCGTTAAGTCGATCATAATGATCGTTTTTTTTTCTTTTTTTTTTTTCGTTTTATTGTGAAAAAATATCGGTGACTAAATTACACCTCCACATTTTCTAATTCCCAGGGCAAGTTCCTCTGGCCCGGTTTCGGTGACAACTCTCGCGTCTTGGACTGGGTACTTCGCAGATGTGCTGAAGAGCCTTGCCACACCGAGACACCTTTGGGTTACGTGCCTAAGGACGATGCCCTGGACACCAGCAACCTTGGAAATATCAACATGAAGGAACTCTTCAGCATTCCGAAGGACTTCTGGTTACAGGAGGTAATAACATGAATACCATGTTGTAATGATATTTTAGAATACCTTTTTGATAAACTGTAGAGTATGAGATCAGAACTTTCTAAACTTAAGTTCAATCGCGTTTCGGTTGTAGTCTTTGGATTTCCGAATATAGAAAATACGTCGACAGCGCATTTGGTTAAGATATGATTCGGCTGAGAAATTTTGCTATCCAACTAATCATATACATGCTTGTATATTCTCCTCTATCATGTAAAAATCAAGCTTTTAAACTAAATAATAAGAATTAGTACCCTATAAATGTGGAAAAGCTTTATGTATATGAAAATTATAATAAAGATTTTTGCTTTCAGGCTAACGCAATAGAAAAATACTTCAAGGAAGAAGTAGGCGAAGATTTACCAAACGAAATGTGGGACCAACTGATGATCCTCAAGAAGAATATTCAGAAATCATAGACTACTAATGCCAAAGACTTAAACTTTTTCAATATTACACAGCTAATCAATAAAAAAAACAATCTTGCTTTCATCTGTCACTTCGATATAGCTATAATTTTGACATAATAATGTGAATGTTATTGTATGTAATAAATAAGATATATAATTTGTAGGTACCGATTTATAGTTAGTATCAACTACTAAGTGCGATCATGACAAATAAACCTCTTTCTAATTTCTAGTCTCCTTATAACTATTTCCTGGCAACACTATGAACGAAATAAAATATGGCTGTGTTAGCTTTTAAGAAACAATTGTTAGATATAAGTCACGTTATGTATAAAAATATTTGTATTCATACTTAAAGAGGTCTTTTATTATCATACCGCATTAGTTAAAAATTGATGCCACAAAAATTATAGCAAGCGTCTTGATAATCAAATTTTACATCAGGAAGGAGTAAAAAATAAAAATACTATATTGTAAAAGCTATTTTTATATTAATATTAAGTTGCATATATAAACATTAATTCATATGTTTGGCTGAGAACACTCGAACGCCATTTTGTGTCGACGCACGCGCATGTTTCGTTAACAAAGCGTTTACGTTTAACTTCTCGGTTGCGTATGATCTGTATAAAAATTTAAAATAATAAGAACATATTTCAACAAAGAAAAATCGATTATCTTATAAAGATAACAGTTAAATTAGTAGTTGAGTATTTTTTTACATTTTTCACATAAAAATCCGTATTTTAAAGTATACGAATTATATATTGTAATAAAATAAACTTAGGGAAGATAAATATTTGGTGACATTATCATAAGCACTCACTGAATGTATGGAGTGATTTCAGCAACAGTCCACTTAGGTTTCGTATGGAATAAAACTCGGAACCTTTCGTTGATATCTTCTGGCAGATCAGACTCGGAAAAGCCCCAGATAACTTGTGGGGTGGTGGTTTTGTCCACAATAGCTATACCGATCAATTGAGACTCCTGTTAAAGTGTTTTACTTATTTACCTTCTCTAATATTATGTTGCCACTAACACATTGTAAGAAAAAATAGTTGAGCAAATGAATTGTCTAGAATCTGAATAACTAGTCTCATATATTGTAAGTAAATGGATAAAACGTAAAATTAATAATGCACCAGTACATGCGGAGTCCAAATAATAGGTATACAAATATTTATTCTTAAGCAATTCTTACGTTCGTCGTCATCCCTTCTGGTACAGAATCGCGCCAGGCCTGCATGAACTCGGCCAAGTTGAATCTACCCGCACTCTTCAACAGTACCCTCGCTAAAAACCTACAGACTTTATCCTCTTTATATTGAAAGTATTGTACGCCATCTTCGTTTATTGTCTCTACCGTGTAGAAACCAAATAGTGCTTCTATGATACACGTGGGCGCTAGGTCCTTTAAACTATCCATAGTTAATTCCTTGGATATCCTATCTAAAGGCCACGAATTCTCTTCGATGAGGTCCAGCATATATGAAAGGACGCGAAATTCATAGTCAAAATCCAATAGCCTATAATATCCATCGATGTTTATAGCTTGAATTTTTCGTAACTCGCAATCCAGTTCAGAGTGTGAAGCTTGAACTAGATCGTAAATGGCGTCATAGTTCAATAGTTTGGACTTGTCGATCTTGTATTCGAGTTCCAGACCTTGGAATTTGACGCTTTCCAGAAGTCTGGATAGCTTTAATAGACGAGGTTTACACGGTTTCAATTCGTAATATGTGAAAAAGGTGTTGGCGATGTCTTTATGGACAACTGTTCTGGGTGGTCTTCCGTCATCGGAGTCAGTGGATTTATTTAGGCTGGTGTTTGACCTTTCGAAAGATGAATCTGAATCGCCTTCCATAGAGTGATTGGCTATCGTCATATCGAGACCTGTGGACGCTGCAAATAATAAATCGGGGACTAATAACAAACTGTTTGACGTCTCCGCTTCTTTTACATCATACGTTTTATTATCTGTACATAATACTACATTTTCATCTGGGTCCCCTGAAACATACAAAATCTTAATTTACGATTTATCTTGGATTTATCTTTGATACACATCAGAAGTATCGTGCTTCTGTTGTGTATTAAACCACAAAATTTAATTGTATTATAAACCTTTGAATACTAATTGCTTGCCATCTTCGATATATTTTAAAAGGTAGCTATCTAACTTCATAAGCCTCAAATTATCGTTGCGTTTGCTGGCCTCCGGAAATCTGAGTACTTGTGTAATCTCAGTTAATTCTGATTCATGTAATTTTGCAGTTTTTATTACTTTTCGGACATCTTCCGGTGTTCTCTCGCCACTGCAGAAGAAATATATAAAATTGTATTTAATAAATAGAATTCACTGGCAACTCACAAATGAATGACAATTGACACAAAACATATAAGCAGCCCAAAAAGAAAAAACAAATATGACATCTTTCAAACAGGAGACATTTGCACACCTCTTGACACTTCATCCCGAAAATTTTCTGCGTGATTTCCAGGATCACGAACGAGAGAATAATTAGTTTTAGTGAATAAAACAACGAATATGTCTCTGTTTGGTGATATACTTCCGATAAATAAAAATGAAACCAAAAACAACCAAGCCAGCGCGAATCTTTCTCCATATCTGAACTTCGATCCGAACTATATACCGAGGATGCAACCGGAGTTCCTATACCCTGATGAGAGCCATATGGCCTCCACGGCGCGACGATCGAACGTAGCTCTACCCATCATAGGAATGTCTTTCATGACCGGATCAGGTAAGTTCTAGGATTATCATGCGAAACATAACCTCGAAATCTTTACATAACTTTTGTTATTGATTGCTAATACACTGTTGATATGTTGTATGATATTTCCTTCGTGGCCATTTTATCATTTTGTTGAGTTAGACCACTATGTGTATGTCAATGAATAATTTAAGTTAATTTTTAATCAACTCCTCAGTTATGAATTTTCCAAACATAAACCTTCTAACCTTTAGTCTGTGTTGGAAAACAAAAGACATAAATATGTGTTAATAACTATTTAAGCAGATGAATTATTTGTTGTTAATTTTTATTATTTTGTTTTCATACTAATTTTTGTTTAAAAAAATAATTAACATGTACAATTGAATAGTATATTTATTAATTACTTATATCTGTAAGGTTTGGGAGGTATGGCTGGTCTGTACAAGGGTTTGAGAGCAACAACATTAGCAGGACAAACCGGAAAAGTGAGAAGAACTCAACTTCTTAATTATATTATGAAGCAAGGTCAGTTATTAATTTGAACTAGGTTTATATTTCTGTAATTCCATACTAAACAAACATAATAAAATATTAATTTAATATGTGTGCTTAAATAGTACTTATCTGTACTTGAAGGTTATTTTACCTATTAGAATTTAGCTAGAGATAGAATACATAATTGTTATGTATATTCATTTGTTATATTGAAAGAAAACAATATTATTTTAGACAAATATTCAATGTCGAGTACATTGAATATTTGTCTAAAATAATATTATTGGTTATAAGTTGAAATAAATTTTCAGGTACAACTACCGGCTGCACTTTAGGAATATTAGCATCATTTTACTCCAGTATAGCCTTAGGAGTGACTTGGATTAGAGACCAAGAAGACACAGCAAACACTTTTATAGCAGCAACTTGCACTGGGATTTTATATAAAAGCACTTCAGGCCTCCGCTCAATGGGCCTCGGGGCAGCTGCGGGACTTACATTAGCAGGAATCTATACTCTCCTTACAGACAATGATAATATATGGAGCAAAGCTAGATATATAAGAATGTGATTTAAATTTTATTTAAATATGCAGGAATGTTTATAAATGCTATTTGGACATAGATTGTGCATCATGACTTTTAAATCTTTTTCTTAAAGCTCAACTATAAGATAAATTCGTGAATGTTCTTGCGATATCATTTTATTTCAAAGATAATATTGAAATTTCTGTTTTATAATGTAAAGGACCACAATGACGATTTTCATGTGTGGCCTACGTAAATAATTTTTCTATTAGGCCACTTGAATTTCAAAATAAGTTTTTAGATTTTATTTGTGCCATGCCAAAAGCTTTTAAAGACAATCCTGTGTTGAATTTGTTAATTCTGTACATAGACTGTTATTTTAAGTTATGTTAATTGGCACCAAAGGATCTATCACCTGAAGACTTACTTACTCCATGTCTAAGCTGATAGGTCTACGTGTTTTGTTAACCTGAATCGGTCATATGTTCCATATCGAAACAGGTAGCACAATTAGTTAATTAAAGAGTTGTTGAAAATTTATCTTTTTATTATCTCTATATGTACAGACAAATATTTCCCCAGTTATTTACCGACTATTAAAAATATAAAAGCAATCAACTTTTATAAATTTTTTCAATATTCGGTTAATAGCTTTACAAATATAACATCAAAATTGTACACTACACATTATACATCTTGAGGTTCACAGGATATAACTAAAATGGAAGCATTAAGTTCTAAGCCTGATTATTTAAATATTCAGTCATCGGCCACTTAGATTTAACAGCCATATAGAGATAATTACATGAATAAAAATATTTTTGAAATACAAAGTAGTGGAGGATTTATCAATAAATTAAATGCTCAAATTAGGCATTGCAAATAATACAGGCAATAAACAATAAAATTTTATCTACTTATCCTAAAAAGACTTGGGATATTCAAAATAATCTTATACCGTTAATTAAAAGTACTAAATTTCATCATAACAAAGAACTGGCTCTATGTCACTTCTATTACAATGAAGAAAACAATGATTATATACTTAGTAAAATATATTTTGTTTATTAAAATCACAGCTATTTATATTTGTATGTATAAATTTGCAACATATCTATCTTGATAAACGAAAATAGTGCATTTTCAAGGCATAAGCACTATGGATTATATTATTAGCCTTTATCTAATAAAATAGTAATATCATAAGATCATATAGGTATGAGATAGGAGTGCCATAAAAAATATGTTTTGCCAAATACTTATGCTATAAATCTATTAACTTTGACATCAAGGGCTTAAGAATTCACCATTTAAAATTTTAGCCAGCAACACTGGTCAAATACTAAATAAAGAGACTATGTAAAGGAACTTATATACAATGCATTGTGTGTAAAATTATACTTCACATATATAAGTACCTAAATTAATTATAAAATATAGTTCATACTTCAATTTATATTACATGCAAGTAAAATGTTTGAAGTTTATAGAACATACAATGTGGAAAATAGATAAAGTATTGTACAGTGATCATTTGCATTTCACATTACAATTCTAACAGAAAATATAGTGCTAACATTGAAATGAGTATTTGTCTATTTTGAAATTTTTAAACTGCAATATCCATAAATTTGGCCGGATTACACACATGGAACAATGCGCGAGAGCTTTACATGAGTGCTGCACCCTCGCAGTTCCGAGGTGCAGCAAGATGTGTGTCACGTCGCCGCATTTAAAATCGCCTTCATGTCGTCTTCTAGAACACAATTTAAATCGTCCAACCGCCGAGCCAGTAACGTCCTGGTGTTGTCTGCTACTGGTGGGTTATTCTTCAGCACATCTCGCAATTTCAAGACCATGTCTACTATTTCAACCTCTTTTTTACCCACTGACCACTTTTTTAGATCACTCTCTGCAAGAGCTTCCAGTTGCAAAGCCTGTAGCTTATTTGTCAAGTCACTATGGCGTTCGTGGAACCATGTACTAAAGTTAGGGGTGCGGAAAAAATGTTTATACAAGCCTATCCAGTCACCCTTGATACCAGATGTCAGTTGCGGCCCTGCTTGCTGAAGGGAGGTGAAAAAATCTTCTGGATTAAATGGGTTCGGTACTGGTGGGGATCTATAAGGGGAAATATTTTTCTGCAATGGCATGAGTGATGCCATATACCGTTCCAGAGGAATCATGAAGCTCTGTGTCAACTCAAGTAAGTGTCTTTTAACCATTGCAGTCTGCACTTCTGAGGGTCGATCTGTTCTCATACCATTATGTAACTTTTTAATTATAGCCTTATCTTTTTCTAAGTATGGTTTGTATTGAGTATAGACTCCCGGTGCAGAATCTAATTGTTTAATACTGCCAACCTTCCTTAACTTAGTTTTAATTGACGTTGAGTCACCCAGCTTGATAGTGTGCGGCCAATGTTGCAATGTTTTTGTAAAGTATGGATTGGTCACACCTAATATTACATAAGGTGGATTGTACTGTTTCCTAGTGAATTCCTTGAATTCACTGTCATGTATTGTAAAGTATGGTCTGTATTCTGCTGAGTATGGAAGGGGTTGTATTAAGTATGTCAATGCTTGCACTAAAGCTGAACATTCTGTAGGAGAACTAGCCATTACAACTATTGGTTCTGCTGTTAAAACTAACTCCCACAGTAAATGTAGATGTGATATTAAACTCGAAAGCGCATCGAAAACATTTACGTCCTGTATACAAACTACGATATGGGGAATGTTAGGCGAATGTACCTGCTTAACAATATCTGATCGTGATACTTTTCCCGTCTGTTGATTGGGAATGTAGGATTGGAAAACGGTACCAAGAACTGGTAAGAGTGCATTTTGACCTGCGTTCAATTCCGGCCATCTATTTATATCGTGACAAGCGGCCTCCAAGCTGCTTTCGCCACCTTCGAAATGCCGTGGAGCTATTAAATGTATGACTCTGTAGAACAGGTTAATAAATGGCAAGCGCGTAAGTAATATAATGCTCTTCTGGAAGTAGCCCCGAGGCAAGGTCGGGTCCTTGACCTGACGAAAATAAACGAAGCCCCAGTAATGCGTCGAGTCAGCGCGAAGCGTGGATACGCTGTCTTCATTGTATATCGATTGCTGATTTGTTAATGGAGCACACGAACGCAATCGGACGTGAAATTGAGTGTCACCCATGCATCCAGAATTCGAATCCGGGAACGCCAAATAACAAATGTTGGATTTCTCTTGGTCACACAACTTAACCCCGGGCGGATATACCCGTTCCATTGCCTGACCGAGCTCTAAATCGAACGTTACCACACATATACAGTGCAGCCAGTCGGAAAATCTAGTCCATTTCGCCTGAAACTCTTCATCACTCACAGAAACATCGTCACATCTTTTTATTCCACAAGCCATCGCTTATCACTTAATTGAGTAACATTTCGAACACCAAAGCCATAATCTAAACCTTAAGCACACTTTTTAAAATACAGCTATACTGTTTGTATTATCAATCATTGTTTTTTATTCAAATTTGCGATAAAAATAGACGCGCGATAATTTTCCACGGCACGCACAACAGCTGTTCCGTCAACATGGCTGCGCGCGCGAAAACAAAATGACCACTGTCGAGAATCGGACTGTAAAAGTATTTTTTTATTTCTTAAAGTAATGCAAAAGTATTCGAATGGAAGACTTACCATATCTCCATTTTAAAATATATCAATTTGCTATTGTTGTATTTTAACCTTCCTAAAAAATAATAAAAAAACAAGTTTCGCTTTAAATATTAATAACAGAAGTTAAGTTTAGTAGTACATTTTGGAATCTGTTTTGACGTATGACATCTATCGCTTTAATTGTCATTTTGTAAACAATCGAAAATAGTTAATTGATGATTCCGATATTTAACCAAAAATATAATTATTGTACAAATAGTTCTAAACAATGTTATATTCTCTTATTAAACTTATCTTCTCAGAACGTTGACGTTGGGTGATGTCATAGACAAACCTGTCGTCTCATCACGAAACGTCAGTGCGGTACACATTACACATCCGTTTTATTAGTTTATGGCTTCTTGACATTCTTCAACAAATAAGCAGAATTTAGTATCCTCCCTTTTATTTTTATCGCGTAGTTTTTTCACAGAAAATGTCTTCTAAAAGTGAGAAAGATCGTGCGAAACAGATCCAGGATCGATGCCAGAATATATTGATGCAAATGTTAAAAGATGAGGATAATAAATACTGTGTTGACTGTGACGCTAAGGGTGAGTATTTTTTTTGTGAGATTCATTACTTCAAGATGTTACGTTCCCACACAAGAGTCACAGGTTCGATTGTGCCCATACTGGGAATAATGGCGCAAAAGGTTGGATACATTTCGTGTAATTATGTGATGCGTACAGGTCTATGAACTCAAGTGTTTCTTGCATTATTAAGTTATAATTTTTACTAGACCCCCAAGTGTCTGAACATATTTCTAGACTTTTGCAGTATATATTAATCTAAAGCCATAATAATTACTGAATTCTAATGCATGAGAGACAAGCTTACATATACATTTGCCATATTTTTTTTATATTTATAAAGGTATCAGTATGTTTATTTCTGTCAAATGGTATCTTACAATAGCACAAATAAAAACTATATTTATTCCTGGAAATATCTTTTCACAGCACTATATTATTATCAGAAGTTTTAATAATGCTAATGCTTTAATAATGAATTACTCTATTAATCAAAAAGAACATAAAAATTAAATAAGTGTTGTTAAAAGTATCAATCTTATTAAAAATATTGTTATGGAAATGACTTTATTATACTAAATGTCTGCTATCATGATAGTAAATGCATTGATATAGGCAAATTACAAAATAGGATGTGTCAAGATTTGAGAAGGTCACTTTGTTGAAACAATTAACTGTTTATATATTAAGTATGTTGGTTTTGAATAGTCTGCTGTTCAACTGTTTAAAATCATATAAAATATCTCATTATATTGTGTCTAATGTAATATAAGAAATTTTTGGTGAAAATAAATGAGCTGTGTGATCCCAGAACTATTTATAATAAAATAATGTATGTCTTTTTCTTAATTTTCCCACAAATACATAATTGAAACAGTTTAACAATTGTTTATTTGCAGGACCACGCTGGGCTTCATGGAACTTAGGTATTTTCCTGTGCATCCGTTGTGCGGGTATTCACAGGAACCTTGGTGTTCACATCTCAAAGGTGAAGAGTGTCAATTTGGACTCATGGACACCTGAACAAGTGGTATGCATGATGCTTCATGTAATATATTTTGCAAATAAACATTTTGTCAGGAATGTTCTAAAGATTTTCTTTCTAAATATATTATCAAAACTTTGGCATATTTTTTTTAACTAAACACAACTTAAAACATATGTGTTGATATGTTAGCTAATTTTTAAAGTATTTGGCTTCGGATATTCAGACTGGATACTTGGATTATAAGAGCTTTTCCATCTATCAATGGTTGTCTGATACTAGAATGGAAATTTGATGTTCCTATCAATATTAATATGTTTTCTTTCCAAGCACCGTAACGTGTTTAGAAGTTTTTGAAATTAATTTTAAATCACTTATGTATATTAGTTAAAAAGAGCTGAAACCCACACATACATTCTATCCAAGGAGTACGGAGAACATGTTCTGAGCAGTGTCATATAAGGAGTTTTGTGTGGCATTGCAGGTATCTCTTCAGCAAATGGGCAACTCGCGCGCACGTGCCGTCTACGAAGCAAACCTGCCAGATTCCTTCAGACGGCCACAGACTGATACTGCATTGGAGGCTTTCATACGCGCCAAGTACGAGACGAAGAAGTACATAGCTAAGGAATGGGTTCCACCACAGCTGCCTAAAGTCAATTGGTAACTTACTTACCATAATAGTTTTATTTATTCCGTACATTTAGTATTCACAATATTCTGCATTTAATACTTAGTAGTAGTTGTTATTGATATAAAATGCTATCTATTTTAGTTATTAACATTAAATATTGACTTGAGTTATTTGATGGTTATCAGTTTACATACAATTGGTCCAACAGATATAATTAATACTTAAATTTATTCTTCAGGGATAAAGAGATTGATGAGGAAATAGAACGGCAAAAGAGAAAAAAGAAAGCAGGTACTTCTACACTGGGACCATTACCAGCTCCAAGTACTGACAAAAAATATAATGTAAGTCTTGAATGTATTAATTTTGGGAAATAGCATTAACAACCAAAACTCCCTGCGATTATCATACGTCTAAATATAGGCTACGTGTGTACGGGTGATTGATACTACTTACCTATATGTAGGAACACATCATGTTATAAGTATGTATGTATGTTTCAGAAATCGGATGTGATACCAAGTATACCTAAACCAAAATCATCAGTTAGTCCCAAATTAGGCAGAAGTACTCCTGTCGCAGTCGAGGCCAAGCCGACAAATGGCTCCGCAGATTTACTTGGTTTAGATACAACGATTACCACAAGCAAACCAGAACAAAAGGCTAGCGATGACATTTTCTCTAGTTTCTTTTCTGCTCCAGAAACCCCTGCTCAGGTAACAATTACTACCTATTATATCTTACTTAAGTACAATAAATAGTGACAACTTTAATAATTAATGCACTGTTATTCATTCAATTAATTAATTGTCTCCTTAATATAACGATTATAATTTCGTATGAATTCTAGATACCACAAGAACAAAAGCCAGACTTAAAAACTGAAGAGGAGAACTTCTTCAAACAACCAGCTCCAACAGAGAAGGAAAAATCAAAACTTACTAAGGATAGCATATTAGCACTGTACAGTCAAACACCAATGACACAATTCAACCCTGTACAACCGCCACAAATTGCACAACCCATGCACCAACAGGGACAGCAGACTCAATACCCATTCTATCAACAACAACCATTTAACAACATGATGAACGGAATGCAAATGAACCAGTTTCAACAAGTTAATCAATTTCAACAGTTCCAACAGCCTCAACAACATCCACAGCAGCAACAACAACAGTTCCCAGCACCAAATCAATCGATGAACTTTTTCAATCAACCGCAACAATTATCACAACAATTTGGCAACCTCAATCTTGGTCAGGGATTTCCCAATGCGTTTCCGCCTAATCCCAATGTTGCCAGTAATTCGACGTGGCAATAGATTAGTAATTTCAATGTGGCAACGTTTTGGTGATTGTCATTTAGGCGATTGGGGATGGTTAATTGCGACTTAATTACTTGTGAGTAAAGCAAAAAGATATGTAGGTACAGTGCAAGAAGTTTGAGCGCTATTTAGTCAAATAAGAAACGTTCTTAATTTTAAATATAATCTGTTCTGTGCTATGTCTTAGCGCATAGTAGTCTGTGTTGTCACATATTTACATAATTGGCGCTCAAATATATATATACCGCGTTCTATATAGTTACAAATCACTTCGGGTATTTAGCTGCCTTACTTAATTTAATGCCTTTTTTGTTTTTGTTCATCTTAAAATAATCGCACTTATCCTTTAACGAGACCCTAGGTCTACAATGACAATAACTTCACCTTAGTAAAGATGCTTTTTAGGCGGGATAGTACGAGTAGTGTAGAAAATAAATTTCGCCATTTTGAGATTAAAACGCACTTCGGTAACCATAGACTACATATCAGGGTACGATACCTATGTATGTTCTCCGGATTAAAATTAAGTATTCTCTTTCACATTAATTGCTTGTTTTGTTTAAGTTTATGTATTGAATTAAAAAAGCAAGCTTAAATTTAAAATAATAATTTATTTTTATTGATTAACTGGCATACTGGACCCGAGTACTCAAATTGGCGTAATTTAATTTGAAATTAAAATGTTCACTATTATCATTATCTATATGTATATCCTTTTCGAAATGCTTTTACAGGCCACAAAAAAATTATTTGCTATTTCTCAAACATTTTTTCCAATAATTTGTTTATGAACCTAATAGAAATGTCGCAAACGCGGTCCGATCCTTCAGTAGGTGATAAGGGTTACGAATAACCTTTGTTGATCTCAGTCGTATATTACGTTTTAGAGACTGCTATATTTCCCGGCCCATCATTATATATAACAAATGTCAATTTTATCGACAAGACAATATAGCTAACATCATTTTTGGCCAATATTAGTAACAGACAAGCAATTGTCGTTAGTCACCGGTCATAGTTGTTAATACATATTTGTCTAAGTTCTTCGTAAAAACGAATGTCGGACGATTATTCTTAGAAATTGTTTAGTAGAGAATTTTATTTTTTTATAGCACCTATTTTACAATTTATTTACACTATTATCTTTGCTTTGCGCTTTGTATTCCTATAAATTTAAACGAATAAACTAACTGCATTATTATACCTACTGAACTATTTTACATATATATATATATATATATACTTTTTGGTGCAATGCTACTTTAGTCTTCGTGTAACGATTTACTTAATTCGCATTTATGCTTATTACAATAAAAAAGTAAAACACATTTTGTATGCTTAGGGCATTACTTTGCTTGGAATAGCAGAGACCTTTTGACACACTTGTACATTTTTATGTTTGAGTTGACAAAGAAAAAGGATTTATTTGGGAGTGATAACTATGGAATATATACACTTTTACTAAGCTAAATACTCTTAAAACGACGCCGGCTATTACTACTTCCTGGCACTAGCTTGTTTAAGTTATATGTAAATTAAAGAATACAAATTTTAACGATTAAAAGGTCTTCTCTTAATATGTATAAGCTATTTTCCTGGCTCTGCCATTTGTTTTAAATCCAGCCTTTACACTTATAGATAATAAAATATTTTTTTGAAATACCGTCTATGCGTGTAGACGTAAAAGATAAGGCGGTAGGTAATAAATAATTTGTAGTGTTGCAATTACAGCGATAAATGTTTGTGATGAGTGTGTGTAAATGTGGTGATAAACATGGTGCGCGACTGTAACACGTTCAATTGTGAATTTTTATTAGTGATTGATGTATATTTTCGTTTATTGATAAATAATTATTATAATATTGCAGTACCACAAATGAAGGTATTCTGTCATATTGGCACGATGCCTTATAAGACTCGTATTTTTCGTTTTTAATTGAATAAAATGTTGTCCCCACCATTTGTATTTGTATGTGTATATGAATTTGTATGAAAGTGTAAGTTCATTCTTGGCATTGTAGTTCCGCAAACTCGACCACTGTCGATTCACGAGAAAGATGAGTAAAGCTTTTTAAAGAGTAAAGCGTTAGCTGAACTTAATGTATTCTTGGATCTATGGCCTTAAATCATATGGCAGTCACTAATTCATCAGAAAATAACTGATCTGACTCTTATGCCCTGCCCGAACTAAACTATTTAAAATTTTCCCGGGATTTGAACCCAATTGACCTTACTTGCCAGACGCAATGCTGCATAATTTTATAAAACTTTTATTACTACATTGAGTATTATTCTAATAATATATATCTGAATATTGCTAAGAACAGCAAAACAGAAACTATTTAAAAATTGTACCATGAAGATGTCATAGTCTATATGATTTAACTAGCTGTGCCAGCGGTTTTTTGGGCATCCAAATACCTAAGTTTTTGCAATCCCCGTCATCTTTATAAACTTAAGCTGTTAGACACAACGTCGATCGCGTCTGTTCCCGTCGTTCCTGCAAGGTAATCGTAATAGATAGACAAATAGCGTCGCGTTCTTTTTAGAATTCTTCAACTCGAACCCGTACTTCCTGAGCGCGTTCAAACAAACGAACTTTTCAGCTTTATATATTAGTATAGATAAGTAAATTTTTATCTGTGGTTTAAAATTTCAAACTGACACATCGTAGATGACAGCTTACATAGTACAAACATCAAAGACGAAAATTAAACATTTGTTTATTGTTATCAATGAAAAAGTAATGGTGAAACAAATAAATTTAATTAGTGATCTTCTGTTTTTTTTCTTTCATTTGATAAACTACATACATAGTAGTATAAGAGTTTTAATTTACAGCAATTAAAATGAGTGAGAGTCATTGTTTGTTATTCATAAAATATTGTTAATATATTTACGTATTGACTTCACTACGAAATGGGTAATCAGCTCGTTGGTATTGCGCCTTCGCAAATATACCCCGTTGAACATTATTTAAGCGACCATGTTGATTTATGTTTCGACCAGAGGTAAGAAAATAAAATATAATTTAATAGCCATTACAAATTTTTACACTGAGGTCTTTGTCTTTTTAAACAAGGTACTTATTGTTTGCTATTTTTTATACTGGCACGTGTCACTTTTAAAGCAATAAATCTCCTATAAAATGTAAGCTCTTTCAATTTCATTAATCAATATTAATAGTTTGAACTGACATTTTAGCCTTGGATCAACTAGATTTTTCAAAGTGGCCAGAGCCAGGACAAGAGAGGGCTTGGTGGTTGTCAAAGTTTTTGCTATACATGACCCATCTTTACCACTAGAGGAACACAAGGAAACTATACTCAAAATAAAGGAGCAACTTGCTTCCACATTTAACTGTTTGCCGTTTCAGAGGGTTATAGTATGTATAGTTTCTTATGCAGTTTACATTAACCTATTACTTAATACTGGGTCTTTAAAAACTTATGTAGAATTTTAATAAAACACTTTAGCGGTTTAAAACGCGGTATATTAGTTAAACTTATTTGAAAACGATTATTAACTTTGGCCCAAATTTTCCCAGTCTCCCCGTGACCATGGCTGCTGCAAAGCATCCGAAGCGTCGGGCCGAAGTTAAAAATCATTTTCAAATAAGTTTAGCTAATATATCGCGTTTTAAACCATTAAAGTGTTTTATTTAAATGTGTACTACTCGCAGAAACTGTAGACAGTATTTACCTTATGTAGAAATGGAATCTACAACCTGCTGGATTTTGCAGAACCTTTTCTTGATGAGTTGAAATCATAATTAGCTGGAAATATTTGTAAAATTTTATATTCACTTCTCATTATTCCAGCTAACTGATAAAGCCGGACTACTAATAAGGGAATATTGCAAATGTAGCGTCTACGATAGAATGTCAACACGACCCTTTCTCACTGTGCTTGAGAAGAAATGGATAACATTCCAGGTGCTCTACACCTTGCATAGGATGCATAAACTTGGCATATGCCATGGTGATATTAAGGTAATGGCACTATGTAAAGTAATTCGAATCTTATTTAAAAAATAAAATGTAATTTTAATTTGTTCAAACCATTATACATATGGCTGAAAATTACCTCTATTTTGTTTATACATAAGTTTGTAAGTACTATAATGTATGATTTGTCAATCTATACTATATATTGTATGTACCTTTAAAAATAATTTACTATGGTTTCCATTGTGGTGTTCAATCAAGACACGTTACTGTATATATGATAAGTAAGGCTCCTAACAATTGATTCAATACATTTATATTATATATGTTTACAATTTGCAGTTAGAGAATATAATGGTCACCTCTTGGCTGTGGGTGCTCCTGACTGACATAGCATCATTCAAACCAACATTCCTGCCGGATGACAATCCAGCTGATTTCAGCTACTTCTTTGATACATCTCGACGGAGGCTTTGTTATTTGGCACCAGAAAGATTTGTTAGGGCTCCTGATCCACATAATAGGCCTGGTGTAAGTAGAATCTTTACATTAAGAGAAGTTGGCAGCTATTTCTTAAATTTTGTAAAAGTTTCGGATTTGAAATAGTAGAATATGTTTATAAATTATAATCAAAACTAAGGCCAATTTAGTTCATGTTGTAACCTGTTAAGAGTGTTTTATTTAAATTACCTATTTCCAACAGGGTGATGACAAAATGGCGGGATTATTACTCAGCGAGTCTCCATGCAAGATTGGTGAATTAGTGCCGAGTATGGATATATTTTCAACAGGGTGAGAACACTAAATCAATATATCTTTCCTATTTCTTAGTATGTTATGTGTATTTTGTTGGAAAACCTTTGTTTCTCTAATTTAACACGAGTTCTAATTTAGCAATTTGTCGTTTTTAAACATTATTTGTAACAAATACGTATACATAATGAAAAATTGGAATATAGGTACATATTTTTACCTGTACTGTTTTTAAGAACAGCTAACATAGACAGACAAGATTATTTTTTACATTCACATATCCGCAAATTTCCAATTAAATTTGACTTAATAACTGGTATGTAAGATAGTAAACCTAAAAAATACGATGTTACGGGGCGGGACTAGAACCCGTGACAGACAGTGTCTTGAGTCGCTGTCGTTATCTATCAAAACTATCAACCCCTTAGACATTTCCTCCCGAGTCATTCATTTATTCACTATTTTAAAAATGTATGTATTGTCTCTGTCCCGCAAACGTTATATAAATATTGAGTGAAAGGGATAAAACATGAAACAACCGCGTTTATTATTATATGAGTTGAGAACTCCAATACTCATTAAACATTGTCCCTTAGCTGTGCGCTTCTAGAACTGTGGAACGATGGCACCCCAGCCCTGGATCTACCTGGTCTCTTAGCATACCGTAACGGCGAGGACCGTCCCTCTACGATGGACGTGGCTGCTTCCTCTCCGTCGGAACTTCGAGATCTTTTGCTATCCATGACTGAACGAAATCCAAATGATAGGAAAAGCGCCGAAATATACCTGGATGAAGCTAAGTGCAGGTAATAATTAATATACACAGGTAGTTTAAGTTGCCGTATTCATACTATTTTATTTGAAATAGTAAATGTAATAGTTAAAGAGACAGAAATTTAATTTTATTACTTATAAATAATAATTATTTTATTATTGTTGTTACAAATAGAATAATTGTATTATCCCTGAAATTATCGTCACTTTGTAAATTCAAAATTAACATGGCAAGATGTTGATAATAGCAAAGTTAAACTTTAACTGAACAATGTGGTCACGTCGAGGATCATTTTCAAATAAGTTTAACTAATATATCGCGTTTTAAACCGTTATAGTGTTTTATTTACATGTGTACAACTCGCGTAAACTATAGACAGTATTTAAGCCTTTATATAATTTATTTAAATATTGTTGTTAAATTAATTTAGTTCCTATCTTGTACTTTTTGTGTACAACAAAAATAAATGTTTGTTATTTTATATTAAAAATGGGTCTACATTTATAATATCTTTCCTTTCCTCAGTCGGGAAAGGCGCTGGGTGTCAGCTGCTCCTACGTTTTTTGTAATTTTTAAATTAATAAACCCAGCTGTCAAAAATAATTGATGGTCGTGAATCATTTGTACAAAGCATCTTTTGCATTTCATTTAATTTTCAGGTTATTCCCCGAATACTTCTACTCATTTCTCCAGCCGTACATGCAAATCTTCTCGGCTCAGCCTATCTTACCAGCGGACGAGAAGATATCTCGCATTCACCAGGATATAAGAAACATAATCAACATCTTCACTCAACCGTCGAACGCGAAGAACTATCAGGATCTAGTAGATGAAACCACAGATAATAATCAGAAGGTGGAAATTGACACGCTGGTGAAAGAAGGGTTCAAGGTGATGACGGTCAACGTGGCGGATTTTGAAGAAGAGGTACGTATTGGCCTGGCTTTTATGCAAGCGAGTGTAAAAACGACTTTGACACGAGCCTTGAGGTTGAATGTCCAATGATGTCCGAGGTGAGAAAAATCATTGTGGGACAATATGACCCATAATGGAGAATGATAGAAAAATTCTCTATTGGTAACACTGATTGAAATATGATTAACATAATTTTGTAAAAAAAATATATTTATTAATTTATAAATTTAACGATACCTATATTTTGATTTGATTTTTTATTATTTGATTTGATTGAATTCGTCGACACATACAGGAGTTGAACTTCCATTCAGAGCGTTCCGTACTTCTAACCAATTGAACTACCATGTCACCACCGTGGTGATAATTTACCATTTTGCCTAACTCCCTTCTCCAAAGATTATTGGATTATCAAACTTTTCCTCTGTTTCTTAATATCTGCTCCATCTTAAATTAATTGAAGTCAGATTTGTCGCTGGCACAGCTTAACAGAGCTTAATAGATTTGTGTCTAGCTCGTCTTTATCAAGAAATTTGTATTCTTTTTAGGTCGAAAAACCACCAGACAAAGTCGAGCAAGGCCCAGATAGCGAAGGGCTAATCCTGATTACATCATTAGTGACGTCATGCATCCGAGGACTGCACCATTGCACTTCGAAGCTGCAATGTCTTGAGATTTTACAGCTTTTATGCGAGAATTCGTCGTCTGAGATCATTTTGGACCGAATACTGCCGTATATTGTAAGTTGTCTTGTTTAGATGTTACATGGCTAGGTTATTGTGGTTATTTGGGTTAAGTTTGTGTGACCTCATTTATCATAAAAAAAAAATCAAATTTAATTGAAAAAAATATGTATTAAAATCAAATATATAAAACTGAAGAGTTTGTTTGTTGAACGCGCTTACCTCAGGAACTACGGGTTCGAATTGAAAAATTCTGTTTTGTGTTAGATAGAACATTTATCGAGGCTATAGGCTATAAAACATTGCGCTGTGACTAATAGAAGCGAAGGTACAGCGGGAAATGTGAACGAAACGGGGGTATTTTTTTATCTCTGTGGGTTTCAGATGCGTACGCTGCGAGAACGGTTTGATCTACTCAAAAAATATGTATAAAAGAATGATTCCTCTTTAAATGATCTAAAAAAACTTCCGCGACGTTATATGTCTATCTTTTAAGATTAACTTTCAAGAACGACGGGAAGGGACACGGTCGGCGTCGTGGCTAACAGCTTAAGTTTATAAAGATGACGGGGTTTGCAAAAACTAATTTGGATGCCATAAATAACGATTCTCGCGAACGAAGTCGCTGGCACAGCTAGTATATTATATATAAATACTGTCTGTAGTTAAATAATAAAAATAAATAAAACACTTTAACGGTTAAAAACGTAATTAATATTAGTTAAATATTTTGGGAGACATTCTCATGACCACGGCTGCTACAAACCATCCAAAACGTCGGGCCGTAGTTAAAATAATTTCTAAATAAGTTTAACTAATGTACGTCGCGTTTTAAACCGTTAAAGTGTATTATTTAAATACAATATACTTTCTTAGATTTACCTCTCCCACGCCCCCGAAGCCCGGGTACGAGCAGCAGCGATTTGGTGCGTGACTCGATGCGTGGGTTGTGTGGAGTCCCTTCCTTCGCAGGACTGCAACGTCTTCCCGGAGTACATTCTACCAGAGCTGGCTCCTAGGGCTTCGGACCCGGCGCTGCCTGTGAGAATTGCGTATGCCAATAATATAGGTGAGTGAAGAATTAGCGTTTATCAGTTTTATTTTAATACTATAAGAACTTTCATGTAAATTATCATATCATGTAAATTTAACAAATTTACATGATATTTTATAACTACTGATATAACAGGCGTGTTCTCATGTTTAGTATATATAGCTCATCTAAATATGGCGTTATAAAATACTGCATGGATATAGTTTATGCAAGATCCCCAAAAGATTCTATTAAAATAAGTCGAGCCGTTTGGGTGGTGCTGTGAACCAGCCGTAAAGCTGTAACAGAATAATTAGTAAAAATCTACTCCAGTAGGTGACGATTTTTTTCTATAGCATTGAAAATGGGCACCAATCGTTATCCTATAATATTATTTTAATTTATTTACAGCTAAGCTCGCGGAGACGGCCGTTCGGTTCTTGGACCAAACTCAGAACATGGTCGACAAGGAGGCAGCCAACATCAACTACGAGACAGAATTATCTGCTTTGCACGAAATGGTAATTTACTTTGAAAACTAATATTTTTCACATGTTATTGCACGCTATGACACTACATAACCTATTGATTTTTATGCAACTCTTGCGCAATTTCAACTTTAACACTTGCGTTTCATGGTAAGTCCTGCCCGAATTGTAATCTATTCAATTTATAATCGATTTTTTCTTTAATTAACTTGACTGTTTTTAAATAATAATTACACATACATACTTTGGCGGCCATCTTGGAAAGGATTTATTTCTTGTAAAAACAGCAATATTAACAAAATCAACCTTCCAATTTAAAGGCTGTTAATTTTAAATTAATATTTTCCAGGTCCGTTCGACTGTTTCATACTTATTGACTGATTCCCAAGCTGTCGTGAAGAGGGCGCTGGTGGAGAACGGAATAACCAAGTTGTGTGTCTTCTTTGGGAAGCAGAAAGGTATATTTTTATAGATTACTAGCCTAAATTGCACTTATCACCTTAGGGATTTCCTGATAGAGTCTGATAAGATGTCTTTATACTCTCCATACGGCTTTTTAGTATTGTTGACCCATTGTGAAGCTATTTTTCTAGGTTTGTGCTTATTGTTTATAATACTCATTATTTACCCGTTTTATGTCAGCTGTACTCTTTCCCAAACAATAGCTATAGGTTCGAAAAAAAATATAACTCTTTCACGGTTTAAACTTAAATTGAAATTGAAAATTATCCGATAATAATTATTAGCAGCCATGGCCACGTAGTCTCCCCGTGTTCACGGCTGCTGCAAAGCATCCGAAACGTCAGGCCGTAGTTTAAATAATTTTCAAATAAGTTTAACTAATATATATCGCGTTTTAAACAGTTAGTGTTTTATTGAATTGTGCACTAAATAAAGTTAAGGACAAATGCTTGCTTCGGCTATTTTATTTCTGGGGGGGGGAAATCCTCTTAAAAGTAGGAGACACGAATGGGCTATGTTAGACTTAATCCGACTAGAACCCCAAGGTGGGACCTCTGTCACAATAATAAGTATCCCGGTTCTCTATACCACGCGAGGTGTACCACGGTTTAATTTTTCATATGTTTTGCAGCAAATGACGTAATCTTATCACACATGGTGACGTTCTTGAATGACAAGGAGGAGGCGGCTTTGCGCGGCTGCTTCTTCGAGAGGGTGGTGGGCGTTGCAGCGTACGTCGGGCATCATGCTGCACCTATATTGCTGCCACTTCTGCAGCAGGTAAACTAGCTCTTTAAAACTATGAATATAGTTTGTTATATGTATGGTTAAAAATAAACCAAATTTGGTTTCCAGGGTCTAACGGACCCATCGGAGTGGATAATAGCAAAAGCAATACGTGCGAGCAGCTCTCTCGCCGAGTTAGGTCTGCTGCCGAAACAGGCTCTGTGTTCTTTGCTAGCCGAAAGCGCGGTCTATCTTGCTCATCCGAACCTATGGGTAAGCTTCTATTTTTTAATTATTTATAACTGTGTTGTATTTGGAAATATTTGTATAGAAGGACACTTGTTTGAAGCTGAAATATCCCCGACCTATAAGAATTTAACAAGATGTGTTGCCGAGCTATTCTGGCCTTGGTTATTCGGAATACACAGACTAAAATCAAAACGTGATTTTACACTGCTTTTCTCAGTGACCCTTAATTGTTAATATTGCTACACTACCCCTTAAATGTCGAGATCTTCAGATGTAGTCCAATTTTTTGGTTCGGAAAAAAATATATATTACAAGCATTTTAGACCTGGTGAGGGTCAAACCCGCGACGATATTGTATAGTGCTGTCGATAGACCAACGACCCCTTAACCACGAACTTATAACTTATTTAACGAACCGTCAAATTAAGCTATATGTCTCAGATTGATTAAAAATTGTTTTCCAAAGTTGAGTTGTTCGGAACTGTGTTATGTATTTTATACTGTAAAATATATTTTTATAGATTCGCCACGAAGTCTGCGGTCTGGTGTCATGCGTAGCCAATTTGCTCAACCCAATCGATGTGAACTGCAAGATCCTGCCGCTGGTGTGGCCGCACCTTAAACATAGATTAATTCAGGTCAGAACACATTCTATGCAATAACGTATCTTCGTGAGTGAAAGCACTCTCTTGGTTCCTTTTAAGTAGAGATTGTTAAAATAAATCTTAACTTTTATCGATATAATATTAAAGAATATATATGTATAATATTACCGTTATAATAATATGTAGACTATCATTTTATTTATTTAAATATAATTGACACTGGCTTTTTTGTAATTACAATTAATTATTGTTTGTGTTGTGTTGTCTATACTAAAATTTCTAATTATGAATTGTTGCCTCAATTTTTTTTTTAATAATAAATAACATTGTTTGCCATTCAAACGAGTACAGTAAATAATTGTAATAATCATATAAGAAAAATATATAGGTTCAAAATCAAATAAAAAGTCTAATTAATTAAGTTAAATCACCAAAAAAGTGATGACAACAAAAATTTTAGAAGGATTTCTGATCACTAGGTGGAAAGGGCGGAATTATTGCTGGAGAGTCTAGCAGAATCCATTCCCAGGAAAGTGCTGGATGCTGTCCTGAGACACGGTGACGTGGATAGACTGGTTCACACTCTCAGGGAGAGGAAAAACGCTAGGCTTAGGGTAAGTACAAAATTAAATACTACTTCCAATCATTTTATAATCAAAAGAAATATAATGTGCTGCTAAAGCGATGGTGTCAAGTTTTTGTATGTTAACTGATTTTGTTTTATATGTACAGGTGAAACAGGGTATGATGCCGCAGTATTCAGAAATGGGACAACAACTGAAGAATTTGTTTAGAAGACTGAGCTCCGATGGTGATTATTATTATTATTTATATTAACAATAAACGAGAATACATAGAATTTTGTCTCGCATTCAAAATATAAACGTTTAATGCGTGATAAAAAATATTACATCTTATAAGAATAATGAAACTTGATGAGTAATGAAAATTTTCATTCAGGAATGACAGAACACGTGGAAAACCAGCTGCTGGCGATGAGTGCTCACCTCATTAAAATACAAAGCTCCTCAACACAGGTACGATCATGTATATGCAAATAAAGTTCTCTTTAACAGAACGAGTGATATAAAAAGGATTGCTAACAAAAATCTTAAGTTCAAAGATAAAACATCGAAATTTTATTTCTAAATACATAGTGCAATCACGTGCAATATGTAAAAAATATTAAAGTTTTAACACTTTGCCTGGTACAAGGATTCTTTTCAACTTAAAGGTATTTTTCGCAGCACATAACTGAAGCCCCCGGACGTCTAGTGCTGTCCGCCGGCGGTCTGTCTCGTTCCGTCCAATTGGACAATTCAGCTGATACGGCCCCACACAATGTCCACGATAAAATGTACGCCAGTACACAACATAGGTAAGCGGTCTAGGATAAGAATTAAAAGATATAGAATTGTAAGATCCCTCTTATTAAAATGTAAAAATTTTTAATATCTGGAATCATCCCGGACTCGAATCCCAGGGAATCAATACAGCGTGCAGGGCGAAGTCGTCCCTATTCGTTATATATTTTTCTGTCTTTTTTGTATAATTGTTATTAATAAAAAATTCATTATTTTTCAGGCGTACCCAGAAGACGTCCGTAGCCCACGAGGCCCACATGAATACTGAATGGCAACACATGTTTGGACAAGCACAAGAACAGGCGGCGGGCAAACGTAACTATTAATTGAACAATTGATTTGACTACTGCATATTGGGGAAGGCCCACTAACTAACGTCGGTTAACTGCGTGTTGCCAGATGACGGGCTCGTGAGTCTTATGGTAGCAGTGTTCCAACATGTCAATCGATTTATAAGTTTTGTGAATCATGTAAGACTTCGGAAATCTGGATATAAAATGGCTAGTAGGAATAACTAAAATTCCATTTCCGAATAATCAAATTAAAAAGGTTCACTGCACGTTCTGGTAATTCACCTTCGACCAAGTGAACCGCTGGCCTGTCTGTCCTTTTTTACTATAAATATAAATGATTGCTTTGTGAAATTGTGTTTCACATAAACAGGACGGGGCCCAGGATCTCTATTTATACTCTTAATAGTGATAATCTAATTCCACCTAATTACTTGCAGCCACAGACGTGTTAGCACAATCCACAGTACCGGGATCGCAAGTTGGCGCAGTGGGCGGGGCGAACGCAGGCGTAGTTAGCACAATGGGTGGGGCCAGCGTGTCTGCGTCTGCGCCGGTACACTCGCAAATGGGACACAGCGCCAGTTATGTGCAATGTAAGATGTCTTTTTACTGTGTGGTGATAATACTGTTCAAATACCAGTTTGATATTAAAGAAATAGCGACACATACTTTGCCAGTTCCTTCGCCGGTAAACGCGCCCTTAATTTTAGTACTTGTAATAAATTTATTTTTTAAATTTTCTTTGTATTTGAATCGTACTTAAACTGCAACTAAATTTCTATCTGGGTTTTAAATATATTTATTTTATACCTAATTATACTTTTAATTATGATTACAGATAGTATGGCCCCGTGTCGGGTCGAATTGAGAAACTTGATTAGCCGCACTCAACAGAAGTTTCAGAAGAGTCTAAGGTATGTATATTTCCTACAAAATGAACCTTTCTAATTAAATTAAACCAATTAAGTTATTAGATCAATTAATATTTAATTAGACACGCTACAAACAAAAGGAAGGACTTCCAAAATTAATATGTAACGTCGTTTAAGCTTTAACAATGCCCATTAAGGAAATACATATTTTAACGGTTTATAACGCCAAATATATTAGTAGTTTATATAGTGGTCGCAGGGGGCACTAATGATGAAGACGAATTGAATTCGCGGCAGCCCCAAAGCTTTTGTTACGTTATTGAAAATAAGCTAACTTCGCATTTTAAACCGTTAAAAGTGTTTTATTTAAATGTGTCCTATTCGAGTAGACAATATTAATGAACTCTTTAAAATTACCCATCTGTATGTCTTTCTTTAGTCATTTTTTTTGTAATAATATGTGAATAATTTAAGTGCCTTCCTTTTAATAATTTTGACGTGTTGTAGGAGTCAAGATGATACAATAGAAAGCAGCGACGACCTGGTACCACCTGCCACTTGGCGGCCCGGGAACCAGCTCCTGGCATATCTTCATGAGCATAAGTAAGTTTTGACATTTAGACCTGAAGTTTAGGTTGAAATTACATTGCGCGAGAGGTGCATGTGTCGATTGGTTGTAGAAATTCGACGATGACGGACTAGGAGTCGGAGGCCAAATTGGTTAGAGCAACAGCTCGGACCGCTGTGGGCGCCGGTTCAAGTCCCGCCCGTGTCGTATTTTTTTTCTTACTTAATAATAAACCTAAAAATATACAGAACCTCGAGCTTAAAAATTAAAATGTATTTTTAGAGCACGAGTCAACCAACTGGTGAGGTTGCCGGCCCATCCGTCGTTCTTCGGCTCCTGTTCTGATGATGGAACCGTCCGGTTGTGGGACGCAGCGCGTTTGCAGGGACACGCCTATGTCAACAAGTGAGCACAACCTGTCATTGATGAAAGGATTTTTAGCCTTAGACCAATAACAATGCCGGAAAAAGTAAAGAACTTACACCTCACGTATATATGAGAATAACTGACCCGGCAGACGTTGTTTGGTTTGCAATCCTACGGTCTTTGCGAGTTAGTCTTAAAGTGTAAATAGTCGCGATAAATATTTTTTGGGTTTATTGAACCGTTTTCGCAGCGCACGCAACGAATGGGTGGTTTTCCCCGTTTTCTCCACATTTTCTAGTCTTTATGCGTTCCTATTGTTCGCAGCGTGATATTATATAGCCGAAAGCCTATCTCGGTAAATCTTATATCCAACATAATTTTGTTTCAGGTCTAAAGCCACTTTTAACCGCAGCGCCGGCCCAGTGATGTCTCTCGCTGCGTGCGAAGGTGGACATTCTTTAGTGGCTGCCACACAGGAGGGATCCGTTTTTGTACTAAGGTAGATAGTTAGTAGTACAAGGAGAATAAATAATTGAAATGATTGTGACAAACCCTAATACCGACATTTACCCTTAAATTATACCAATGTAATGTAACACTTAAATGACATTTTAAATTAACTTACTTTAACAATAATTCCCATCGATTAGACTCCAGCCCGCCTAAAGCCTATTTTAGGCTATAATTTATACATTGGCCAAAAATTAGATAGTGACCCTGACTTTTTGGTATGAAAACATTTAATAAAAAACAATTTAAAAAAGGAATTTTTGAAGATTACCCAACTAGATAGGTAAATTAAAGATTTATTTAGATTGAAGAACAATTTACGACACGGGCGGGGCTTAAACCGGTATCTACAGCGTTCAGGGCTGTTGCCCTATGCGATTGAGTTACCGTGTCCAACACGAAGAATATTTTCGGGTGTAAACAATATTTCAGAAAAGACATTAAATCTTCTCTTTGTACACTTATAGGTTAGATACCGGGTCGTCAAGAATGACTCTATCCCAATGTCGTCAGTTGGAAGCGAGCGAAGAAGGGGGGTGTGTGGCGTGCGCGAGCGCAGGCGGCGTTCACGCTGGCGTGATATCCTATGCAACGCTCAACGCTACTATTGTAGGCTGGGATTTGAGATCACCGGGTTCGTATATCGTATAACAGTATTATTAAAACGGACTCTGAAATCAAAATGAATAACTTTAGAATGTATGCAAATGAAATGTAAGAACGAGCAAGATGATACCTACGTATAAAAGGGACGGCCTCTCCGTCCCTTTTATACGTAGGTATCATCTTAAGAGAGTAAGATCCAAGATAGTGAGAGAATAGAGCATACACGTAAAGGGCTAAGACATATTGTTTAAAGAGGAAGGAAATTAAACAGGATTATAAGTATTGTAGCAATACATACTAATATTATAAAGCTGGAGAGTTCGTTTGTTTGAACGCGTAATATAAGCTTGGAAATTGTTGAAAGTTGAAAAGAAAGATTCCTCTTTACACTATCTAAGGAAATGTACGCAAAAGTATATATCTAACTTTTAAGATTAACTTGAAAGAAGGTCAGGACGCTGCCGATCGACACCGTGGGAAACAGCAAAATTTTATGCTCATTCTACGCGTAAGAAGTCGCAGCCACAGCAGGTTATTTTATTTCGGTGCTCGTAAGATCTGATTGCTATACATTTTGAAGAAACATTTAATTTAATTTTATAGATAATTTACTAATTATTAAATGACTCCTATAGTTGGTACACGTTTTACGTTTTATTATCATGTTCTCATAATTTTATCCTTCCATGCAGATAACGCGTGGAAGTTGCAAGGCGACCTAAAGCAGGGCGTGTACACGTGCCTCTACGCCAACAGCGCCGGGTACCTCGCGGTGGGCACGTCGAGTGGCGCCATCTGCGTTTGGGATCTGCGCTTCCAGCTTCCCATCACTTCAGTTAAACATCCTAATTGTAAGAAACATCGAATATACCCCTTAAATACGTGGTACCAGATGACATTTCACATTACTCATTGTCTAAATAGGCAATTTTGATGTTCGACTTAGATAAGTCCATACTAAACTAATCAAACGTTTTTTCATGGCCTTAATAGAAATTAAACAAACATAGTTTTTAATTCCTACATTGTTATTATGGCGCAGTTTTAAATTTAACTTTTTCCAGCGGAAAGAATACGACGTATAGTCGGTTACGGATCGCTCACGTCCCGTATTTGGGCTGTGGGGGGTCGGGATGCCGCTGCCTGGTGTGTCGAGAGCGCGCATCGAACCCACGCTCTTTGGCCCTCTACTGCGCCGCATCCACCACTGCAGTATACTGCGCCGGTAATGAGACTTTATAACATATTTTCACGTAACCCCGTACCCTTAACGGAACTTGGAGCTAAGCTGATTTAGAGATCTAAAGGTCTTGAAGCAAAAAAGGGGGGTGAGGTTCTTTAATACATTTTGATTCCTGGTGATAAACGACGGGCTCAATGGTGTAATGGTAGAAATATATAGCTAATATACAACGGGTATGCGTTGATTCCCAGCAGGTCCAACATTTTTCTAATCATTTTTTCTGGATATTAAATATATCCTCCTCTAAAACCATCCTTGCATGGGGGCAGACAAATTTGTTTTAACGGTTCATACAATTTGGTGAGCAATTAAAAAAAAATCTGTACCCAAGACTAGCACCACCAACAGCGTATCTAATCTGGACGTATTGCTCTATTTCCATATTACTTTACAGGCGTCTCAGTATATAAGCGCGGCGTACAGCGGTAGTAGAGACGGCGGTCGTTTCATGATCACGGGCGGTTCGGATCTGCGTCTGCGTCTCTGGGACTTGAGGCAGCCGGAAGACTCGCATGTGCTAGTGCATGCACCGCATGACCACGCGCCTTCGCTTGCCTACAGGTAAACTTTAAGCATTGCGCGACAAGTGAAGTCTTCTTTCTTTTTAATTTATCGCAAAAAGATATAACTAGTTGCCAGTGTCATGTGGTTAAAGGTAGGGAAACTTTACACGGAGAAAAACGATATGATGGCTTATATATCGTGATCAGGAGAGTTAAGTAAAATTAATATATCCATGTAAATAAACTAAAATATTACAATGAAAATATATAAACACTACAACTTTAAGTTATTTCTATAATTATAAAATGAGATATTTTTTTTAATATCCTTTAGGATACATCCATAGGAGGGCAAACTGGTAGGAAAAGATATAAAAGGAGGAATTGTCATACAGGCGGCAAGAGAAAATATGATCTATAATTCCCTCTCCCTCACCACTAAAGACTTCTTATTAATAAGGGAATTATTTCTGACATAACTTTTAAACATGTTGCAGAAGTAGAATTATAGATGGCACCACTGTGATCCAGGAGTGTTGCAAGACCACCCCATCCGCGCCTCCATCTCTGATAGATGACAACGTGTATCGCACCGTCGAATCCAGGACCTTCTATCACACCGCACCGATAACGGACATAACGCTAGTCGAAGCCAACAAGTGCTATCTAGTCAGCTCCTCCGCTGACGGTGTGATAAACGTCTGGAAATGATGCTCATTACATTCAAATCGTATATTTTATAATAGTCCATTGCGACGTGTGTATATTTTGTGCAATAAATTTGTTATTGGTTCTTTTTGTTTCTCTGCACATCCATTCAAATGCTTTATAGCCATTTATCATATTAACAATTTATGAGTCATCTAATTTTTATTTGGTATTGTTGCGGACAACATCATCTATGGATCCATTTAAGAAACTATTTTTTTAAGAGTCCCCAGTGCCTCAAAAATTGTCTCTCACTTTACAAAAGTTTTACGTTGCGGTATTGTCAATACATTAAATAAGTTTTTAACTCACTTTCACCATAAACTTACAACTCTAACATAATTATATTATTATTACATAAAATGGTATTATATAGGTATAAGGACAAAATTACTAACAAAGCAGAGGTAATATCTCTGACAGACCAGAATATGTATTTATTCTTAGAACAGTATTAATTTTAAACTTACAATTTAATTTTATTTACATTTCTCATAACCTCCACAGCTTGCATTGTTGAATGCATTACAGATACAGTTTCTTACAAAAATGGCATTTTGAATTAATTTTTAATAATTGCATAATAATAAAATATGTGTTAACTAAAAGTAACGCATCAACTATATTTACATATGACAGCCTTTATATTAAAAAATAGAACAATAAAAATGCATTATATTTGCATTATTCTGTTAAACAGACACCATTAAAACTCTAAAACCAACGGTTACATGGATATACACTACAACAGATATGCCATAGTTAAATAACCAATTTAAAATTGATTATGTCATGCCTAGAATTTTACCAGTAAATGCAAAAAACTTTTTTACATATTTTAAAAGGAAATGGATTCTTGAGAAGGTCTTAGAAGTATAGTAGTTTGTTTTCTTAACAAATGTTTTAGATGAAACTACAATATAACAATATTTATCAAATGTCAGACTTGGCTTACATTTTTCTTTATTATGCCATTTATTGTCATTAACAATGAAAGTGAAATATCTTGCAAAAGCGAAGAAAATGGTTCTAATAATTCATGTTTCATTGCTTTTACCATTTCATTTAGATTTACTGTTATTCCCTGCTTTTTCCTCTGGCGACTCAGCTAATAGTTTTTCTAGATCGATTCCTTCAAATTTTGAATCCGACTTCGAAGCATACTCCATGAATAGTGCTTTCAAAAATTCCAAATCTTTTGTTAAAGTCTTAACTTTCTCTTCTAGCATTTGGTTCTCTGCTTTAAGTTTATTGACTCTTGTGAATGTTTCTTGTGTTCTTTGCTTTGACTTGAATCTGCTTTTTTTGACAGCCTGAAAATATTATGCAATTAAGTAATTGAGACAAAAGTTGTGCAATACATACAACTAATAGTATAGTATCTAATAGTAGTTAGTATTGTAATTTTAAAACATAATAATGATTTTTCACATTATTGGATTCAATAGAATCAAGCCATACATAATATTATTTCAAAGAATTAACCAAAATAACTTTATATAGATCATTAGCCAAGAATACTAAATTAATGCAAGCTATACACACTAATAGGAGGCTAAAAATACCATTTATATATTGTTAGAAACACAGCTATTATGCGGGAGACATGCATGTATCAATATGGTAAAAACATTTGACAATGACTTTAAGGACAGAGCAGCTCGTTTTGTTAGATGTTGACTGGTTAGAGCACCAGCCCAAATCAATCTAAATACCAGTTCAAGTCCTGCCCGAGTCGTAATTTATAATTGATTTTTAATTTACAAAGCTATTAGTTAATCAGGTTTTGAAATATCCCAGACTTATAAATGGCAACAAATCTTAATTAATAAGGATATCTTACCTCATTATTTCTATCTCGTTTTTTTCTGTAATCCTCATCGTCATCATCAGCGCTGCTTACACCGCGTTTCGCACGCTTTGCTGGCGGCATGTTATCGATTCCTCGTAATATCATGTAAGTAAAGCACCATGTACTGTGAAGACTGCCTTAACACATAAATACCCAGTTCTAAGTATTTATTTATAATATGAACTTTGAACTACACTGGGGAGTCAATATCTTTTGACTGCGTTAACTAGAGCTTAAAATGATGCAACACTAACAACTGTATTGCTAAGAGTTTCTACGTAACTAAAAGTCTACTTTCCATTCAAAACACACCGAAAGCCATCAACAAAATTATTACGTAATGCACTAGGAATTACAGTTTCCATTTAAATAGTCTCAAGAGGCTTTGCATACAAAGATACGTTGAATAGTTATGCAATAAAATATAATTTATATTTTTTATTTCACTTATTTTTATTGACACAATCGCAAATAACGAAATAAAAAATATTGCAAACGTCAACACCTGTCACATTACAACGCTGTCAGCTGTTATTGTCAAATAAATAGTCTATGTCAGGATCACAGAGTGCAAAAGATATTTTTTGAATAACCTTAAAAACACAGAATGTACCAAATGTCCAATATTTCAAATCTTACTATTTGCAAAATTATTACATATTTTTATATAGACTATTTGCCATATTTTGTTACAATTTTTGAAAAGAAAAAAGTATAAGTCGACTACAAGTTGAAAACCCTTATGACGTAGCATGCTAATAGGCATAAAATAAAACGAGTTTGTCACCAGACCACAATATATTTTCGCTTTATGATAAATCTCTAACAAAGTACGTAAATCTTATTTACACAAATGGAAGCATCCCATGCTAAACAATCTAATATTGTAATGCTAACCATTTCAAATACATAATACAGAAATCATTCATCCTACAACTATTATTTATCAAAAGAATTCATTATTCATTTTACAATGCAAACTACGCTACTTCAACATAAATAATATGGTTAACATTTAGTTTCAATCGTTATAGAATGTCGCCTTAGGGTATTAGAGACAATAATAATTCCACAGATATACTTCACAATAAAAAATGAGATAGAAAATGTTAACAGCCAAAGATGAAAACAATAAATATATATGTACGACCTCTTTAGGTCAATTTAGCTCCAAAATGTCCTATCACAGAAAAACAGAATTGGCAGTCTTTTACCTATTAAATGCCTGTTTTTTTTATTTTATTTTAAATGCATCAAGGAAGTAAATTACTCATTTTTATTAATTCACAAAGCGGATATATATATATTTTGCAGTGTTCAGCGATTTGACAAGCATACTGTATAGGTATGACACAGTATACTAACTTAGACCAGTATCATGTCAACATTAAAATTGTAAAAGTAATTAAGAATTCATAGTCACACACTTTTAAAACAGTAAACAGTCTATTCTTATAAGAATATAAAATAAATGCTAGATAAAAGATTCAAGTGTAGTAACACATACGCTTTTAAAATACAACAATCAGTCAATCTTAACATAAACTACATTGCGATAACAAATAATTTCTAATATATAATTTAGAGCCGTAAAATTGAACAGGTCATTTACTAAACGCAATACATTAATATGTAATAGTTGTAGTTTTTTTTTTCAACGAGACGTCGTATTGATTGGCTGTCGTAATTGAGAAATGGTTCTCGACATTTCTCTAGTCAATAGTCTCGCTTAGTCGAAGTTCATTATGTAACGTATTTCATTATGTCATGTAAAATGTAATCTATTTTATCATTAAGCAAAAGATAAAACAAAATACATTACTCGTATATCAATTAACTACATTTTTTTTTATAACTAGTTACACTATTGTTGCGTTACATTGGAAGTATAAATATTAAATATCATGTATACATACTATTGGTAATATATCTTTGCTCAATTTCGTAATATTGTCGTAGTACCTACTTACGTCAATCCCGTTTTAATGTTTTGATTTTAGTACCCCTTATGGGGAGATTAACGGCGTTTACGTAACGCGTTACAGGGCCAATGTGACCTGCTTAAAACTTACGTTTTAGTTACTATTTTTTTTATTAGGATTTCTAGCATTTGATAGCAGTTTGATAGTTAAAATTTGGTTTGTTCACATATCATAGATGTAGTAAGTTATTGTAGAGAAAGAAAGAAGAGGACAGAAAATACAAACAGACAGACAGGGAAATGGGATTTTTACTATTCGCAATTTAATTTATCAATTGAAAAAACTTTATAAGATTTGACACGAAATAATAATTGATCCATTTTGTGCTCCCGATTCACAAAGGCTTATAACTAGAATTAAGAGAAATCTTAAAGTATGTTGTTTACAAACCTCTCGCGGTTTTCCGATTAAAGACAAATCCTCAACAGGAACATTTAATAAATATTTTTAATCATGGCTTCCACTGACCAGATTATAAGAATAGAATAGTAGCTACAAAGGGCTCATTGTAGATTTTTCCACTTTGAACAAACGTAACAAAATATTAAAATCTATTTTACATAGAAAAAATACCTCCACAGCTGGTCGTCGACTAGGTTATATTTTTCATCGAATATTTTCTATCGAGAATAGATTTTTAATTCATCATGTGAAAATAATGTTTTATAACAACGATTTTACTTTTCACAGTAGAAACCATGAGATAGTCATACTATCAATAAATTTATTCTAATTCAAACGCATTTCTCGATTTAGTTCTAAGCTCCTCGTACGTAAATTTAATACTTAAATTCATGAAACCGTCGAACTTCGTAATTTCTACGCAATTAAGCTCTTTTTGAGCTGTTCATTTAGTTTTATAAGTTAGAAGAGATCTTTTTATCCCTATAATATTTAGAACGCCACAATGGAAACAAGTATAATATTTCTTAAACTAGCGACTATACTAGTGAACAAGTTTTCCTTAAGATTATGAACAGTTTGAGATTTTATGAAAATTTATTAGCGTTTAATGACTTGCTAGGCCCCCTCTTATATTAAATCACAAAAAAGATAAGAAGAATTTTGCCTAGAAACGTGGAATATTCGCAACTGGTCACATCGTTAAAATTTCGATCAAGGTTTATTGTTTATATAAAATACATAGATTATAAATGATATTGCCAGATTGAAAATAACTGATGAAGATGGTTCATGTTAAAATTCTGAGTGGTTTTACTTATTGAGGCGGCTGCATTTGTACTTTGCGACACTGACATAGCCATTTGATAATCCTCGCGTTCCTCTCAACGACGCTCGGCGGTTCAGTGTTTCGATAGATCTGCTTTTGAACGCCGGGAGGACCTTGAACCTGTAGAAGATAAATTATTATTGAACGGAGAAATTACACGTGATTATAAGTATTGATGCCGATTGTGAGTGTAACTGTAACTGCAGACTTAAGTATTGTCTGCAGTTTACATGATTTTACACATAAAAAAAACACTAAACGATTAAATACGCAAAAGGTAACTAAGATGAAACAGATGGCGTTAGCGTAGCAGTTTTGACTTTGACATTAGACAACCTCCATCTACGATCACCCGTGACCACAGCTGCTGCATAAAATTAAAAATATGTGTAATATATCTGCGTTTTAAACTGTTAAAAGTATTTTATTTAAACGCCTTGACTTTCTCATTATTTCTTTAATTTGGCTATATATTACACTTGAATCAATACCGTCCGAGGATAACTTATATTTTTATAATAATAATTACTGTGTAGTCAGTCGTGGCTAGTTGGTTGGAGTCCACAGTGGAAGCGGAGGAGAAGAACACCGGACTGTCAGGGTCTTCGTCCCTTATGATCGCGTCGTACGTGCGAGACTCTAGTCCCAGTCGGTCGAAGAACAGTTGTAGTCTCGCGGACTCTTCTGATGGACTACCGGGCGAGTCTTCGGCCTCGCAGGGGGCAGACGCAGGGCCCCTCCCGTCAGTTCGTCTGTATCTATAACAGTATAATAATATTACTGTGCTGTAGTACAAAACTAGGTTTTGTTTCGGGGGGAATTGTAATATAGTTAGTAGCTAGTTACGGCTAGCTCAATGAGATCCAGTATAAATAGTTCATTTTATTATGAAAAGTTTATCTCCAATTGCAAAAAAGGTAGGATTTGAACTCAAGAATCACAAACAACGAACGATGACGTTTGCTCTATTAAATTAGGTACTGTGTGTTCATGTGGGATCGTGGAACTTCTCAATCTTTTTTTTTAGTTTTTTTTTCCGTTTTGTTTTTTTAAGCGCGTGACGTAACGTTTTGGGAGTATATTAATTATTATTATTTTCTGTTGGGAGACACCGGTAAAAGGCCGGATCCCCTTTTTCCCCTTTTCCTCCTTGCAGTGTATTAATATTTTACCTGTCAGATATATCGGACTTGGATCGCAATATCGGTCTAGGCCGTCGCTGCTTATAGCGTAGACATCTCTGTCTCTTGAATGTTCCTAGAGGTGACGTCACCTCCTCCGCTTGACAAACCTATGGATGGATGGAAACAAAGGATAGAAAGAATAAATTTGTATTGATCGTAGATTTTGGTGAAATAAAGAGCCATATAACACATTTGTTCCTATGACTCATCTATATATTTAAACTAACATGTATGTCAAAATTTCGTTTTGATATACATAAATGAATTATTAAAAGACAAGGAAATGTAAAGCGGAGAGAATTTTTTCTTCAAAAAGGGTCCACTCGAGTTATCTTTTGAATCAAAGAAATATATATCCAATCAAAAAAATGACATTTTAGCACATCTAGTTGATAATATTATAATTATAATAATTCATTTAGAATGAGATAGCCCTGTAATTTTTTGCTTGTAATAGTCAAAAGTAAGATTCCATATATTTCTTTATGATAGAAGACAGATATATTTGGTAGGTAATTTTTTTTATATTCGATTAAGAAGTGATTACCTGTGGCGGTGCATTAACATACTCCTGCGTGTCATCTATTCGTGGTCGCATGCGCACCTCTTGATACTGAGGCTGTTTGCTAACTACCTCCGTATTGGTTTCTTGATATCTTAAACATATTTTTCAACGTAAAGTCAACGTATGTCCAAAATATGAAAATGAATTTGTATCAAACTCTTTAATAGTATATATCTCGAAACTCTCCTATGGTAATGTAGTCAAATTGTCAAATATTGAGACATTTGAAGGGGTATTTAATAGCAATCGCTAGTAACGGAGTAATCTTACTTATTAGCAGACTCGTCTATGGAACTGTAGGTGGAGGTGGCATTCGCCTTGTAAAGGATACAATACATTTAGTTTTATGAAACAGTTTCAGACATTAGGAGACAATAATGACGGGGGATTTTAGGTTAAGAGACCATCGAAGACACAATAATCGTGTGAAATAATAAAGCACGTAATTGATATGAAATTAGGTGGATACTGTCTATAGTTTACGCGTGTAGAAGGATACAATAAAAATTTATCGGTTAATGAAACAGTTATCAGTAAAGTTATGTGTACAAAAATAAATTAATTATTTAGTGTATAATAATTTTCAAATAAGACTAAGTGTGTGGGAATTAAACTAAATGCACAAAATTTATTTAAATGAAATTAGTTCTATAAAAAAACAGAAATATTATCTTTACAGAATTACTCCTACATATAATGCAATTAAAATACCCAGTTACTACGTTTCTCCTTAAAACAGCCAGTGTTCTTCTTAAGTCTCTTAAAAATCACGATACCTGAAAGTGTATCCCGACACGCGGATGCTGCGAATACATCGGAGTGGGAGGTAGCGCGTGGTGCGGCGGTGAAGGGGCGCCATCTTGGAATTGGGGAGGTGCAGATACGTAGCATTGCTCCAGTGACTCATGCGCACGGGAACAAGAGTAGCGACTAAAAAAAGTATTTTATAATAAGTACATACATAACTGAATCTAAAACTATTTTCAAACAGAAAAGAAAAATATAATATAGTGGCACTTTGGTCTAATGGTAGCAATGTATAATGCTAATAATAAACGGTCATGGATTCGATCGGCACCAGGTCAATCATGTTTCTCATCAATTTATAATTATTCTAAAAACATTTTTCTGTTCAGGTGACTAACTATCGTCACAGATGAAAAAGCCGTCACGTTGAATCGCCTTTGGTTTCAGTCTATGAATTTTCGAGAAGCCAAAACCGGTTGACAGCGCATATGTCGAGATGTTATATGGCTGGGGTATTCAATAAGCAAGTGCTTGACTGCCCTCTTTTCGCATAAAACAATAATAATTACGACAAACCTAGGCCGCTCATAATGCGTAGAGATATTGTCTCTGGTGTGCGGAGGCGCGCTGCGTTGTGTATAATGTCCACTCGATCCGCCGGAATCACGGGCGAAAGAGGAACCACAACGGCTAAAAAAACATTACGTGTTTTTAATCAGTGGCAACACTAAACTCACATACGTCAAAAAACTAATCTATGTGCCACAGATTCAAAATATGTAATGAATCCCTTCGGCCTGTATCGTAATTTCGCCGTCATACTAGCAAAATTTAAAGTAGTCCAAAGTTAAGTTAAGGAGTGCAGCTAGTTACGGTGTTATATAATAAGTATAATTTGTTATCCCTGTAAAGCTATGTGTTATAATATTGAATAAGTTACGTATGATATTAACCTGTTATAAGATTGATAGTTCTCTTCGCCTGGAGAAGGATGTTCCGAGAAGGCATCGCACGATGATATTAGAGACGAATGATTAGATCTGAAAAAGTATAAATCTGTTGACTCAAAGCTTTAATAATATGTTCTTTTCTTGAGCAGGTTTTAGAGATCGCACTCCTCCGCGACGTAGTAATGTCAAACTTAAAGTTTGGTTAATGACATTTGATACACTTTAAAAGTGTAGTGATCTGTTGTACTAAAACAGGAAGAAATGTGTCTCTGTCCTACCCAAAGAAAGGGAAAAGGAATCCACTAATTCACAAGTTAAATATGTACCTGGTGCCTTTAGATGAGCACGAAGCAGTTCTATGGTGTGCCGATTGCCGTCTACGTCTCGGAGATCGACCAATGGATTCCGTTCCGACCACAACGTTTACACTAAAATAAAACCATTCAATTAGGATTTGTGTTTGTACGACAAAGGCATATGAGATATGACAGAGCAATTTAGGGATGTATTTTTTTAATATAATACTATAGCAATGTATTGGTACTATATATTGGTAGCGATTGTCAAGCAGCCAAAAGACTACTTACTGTTCAGGATATCCGTGCGCCTGCGCATGTAGATCTGGCAACGACTTATGACTATTAATATTAGTGTTGCCATCTTCTTCACGAACGCTAGGCTGAGAGTGAGAATTGGATCTGGAAATTAAAATTGATTTATAACTAATTTTGTGTTTTTTTATTATGTTTATAGACAAAAACAAAACATACTAATCAATTTATACCTGGTGTATCTAGGTGCCGAATGTGCGTACTCAGCTGGGGGGCTGATGGTGTCCAACTGTTCCCCAGTAGGGGACAACTCCTCCATATGGTTTTGGGGGCTTGACTGCGGGCTTGCTGTAAATGAATTCATCACATCTACATTTACGCCACGGCGAAACTAATGTTAAATGATTTTAATAGATTTGTGAAAATGGTCGGGTATGACGATGATGATAAGTGAAGAACTCTGAATTATTTTTTTGTGATTAAGCATAAGGTTTAATAAAAACTCACGTATGGAGTAGGCATTCTTGATGACAACTTCGCTGGCCCGCTGTCGCGGTATCACAAAGGATTCCGGGAAGAACACCCTCGCGTCTCCAAAGCTGAGGGGCCGCTTCTCCTCTTTGTGTTTAGAGCCAGATGTCCCTGATGATGAGGTACCAGAAAATGTCCCGGATGTATGCTGAGAACGAGGCAGGTCTCTCTCCGTGTAGGGGTCTTTGAGGCGGCGCATTTCCGTAAAGGGTTTTTGAGCTAAAGCATAGGTTGTAAATTAAGTCTTTTTATATTATTTGTCTATATGTACTAATATAGAACACATTTATTTAAATACAACACTTTAACGGTTAAAAACGCGATATATTAGTTAAACTTATTTGAAAATGATTTTTAACTTCAGCCCGACGTTTCGGCTGCTTGCATTTTAAACCGTTAAAGTGTTTTATTTAAATGTGTACTACTCGCGTAAACTATAGACAGTATTTACACATTTATTTATTAATTCATACAAATAAAACTGCCAAAGTCGATTACTTTCATCGAACAATAGAACAACAGATAACGTAAAAAGTAATTAAATAAAAATGAAATATTTAATTGTATTGTATTTTAAAATATTGTACAGTAAAATTTATGATTAAAAGGTAGCTAACAAACACTTTAGGATTAGACATTTGAAGCTTCTATAAAACTATGAGTACTTACAAACATATGGCGGGGAATAGACATTCTCTCTACTATCAGCGTGTTCCAGTAACCGTCTGAGGGTGTTCTGAAGTCCTTCTCCAGCACTAACAGCCCGTCGGCTGCTGATTCTCGTCGTAGCATCTAAAATATTAGTTAAAGGGTTAAGCCAATAATTATACAATTCATGCCCTAAAGTTTAAGTTGATATTTATTGTGCATAAAGGTTCTCTCTGCTTTACTAATACTTTTTCAGACATGTTTTCGGGAGAAACTTTACCGACGCAGTGTTAAACATTCCTGCAATTCAAATTATACCTGTCTATGCATTATTACATCATTTAAAGAAAAAGTGCACCACATTTGCCATAACTCATATCATTTATCTATTCGCCGTGTGCGCGATGACAGCGCCCCTAGTGGTCACAACTATTCAGGACTTGTCATCTGTCAAATCATGTCAACTAGATATGATATCTTCGTGATATTGATTTTCGACTAGCGATTTTCTTCCTCGTGAAAAATATGGATATTATAATACGTACGGGATTTGAATCGATTAAGCATAAAATACATTTCCAACTTCAAACTGAGCAAAAAGGGAAAAAAATAGTATTAGCACAGCATGTGAGAGAAGTGGAAGGACTTAGAACAAACGGGAAAAGCTTCTTAATAAGAGCTCTGATTATAAGACAAACGTCTGTGACACAAACTCCCTACAAAACATCATTAAATGTGAGTACATACCTACCTACATATCAAGTTATAGAAATAGTATATTTGAGTTAGCTTCATGTCAGCTTACTTATATTAATTATTTTATTGTTTATTTTAATTCCAGGTAAATGATGAACAAATGTTCTCTTCACAGCAGCGATCCATTTTTGTCTTTGCTGTAATGTCCACTTTGATGTTGGAAACGAATAAAACTTGCACGAATTGTTTTTCCCATTGTTTTTACAATTTACGACACAGCATGTACTATGACCCATATCGCAAATTTTTACGTTTTTACTTAAAATTATAAAGGAAGTTATGAAAATAAAGCAATTTGACATTAATTCACATTTGTGCCACATTGTGCGCTTTGATCGATTTGCCGCCCCCCACCACCCACTTTGCACATAGCGAATAGACTTTAATATTGTCAGTATAGTCAAATAATTGCGAGTTCTTCTACATGACAGTAATTATAGATATAAAAAAATACACCATTTATCATTTCTCAGTATTTTTATTACCAAATTATTATAATTATTGAGGTGGTACCCAGAACTGCGTATCTACATAATATTTTTTTTTATACAATAATAATATATTTCGTCAAAACACAAACAGCAATGAACATCACTATCACTGTTTGTTTACCATTTTGGCCAGTCTCAAAAAATGTACTACGTTTACTATAATTACATATTGTGATCCATTTTGGTCAATGAGTATGAAAAAGAATTGAGCATTGTTCTACGTTTACGTTTGTTTTGAACAATACGATAGATGTCTAATAATAAGCCCTCCATTTAAAGACATGTACATAACCCTGGTTCTTATATTTCATACTCACATGGGTTGCAACAGGCGTCATTATTGAGGGTCCCGGAACTGACTAGGTGACACCCCCCGGCTGCTATCGCCTGACTCAAACCACTGCTCACCTGCAACATACAATAAAATAGTAATAATTTTAGATTCAATACTGAAAATCTTACCAAGGGGTTCAGCAACAGCCTCTATCCACAAACACACACAACATAAGGTCGATTCGACATTCTTGTGTTTATGACCGCATGCACGCATATGATTTATGATATTGAGTTCATGCGGCCGTATCTTCAAGTAATATGGCTGCTTCTGCCATTATGTACTTGTAGATCCCAGCGATTTTAACACAAAGTTCTCTCCGCTTTACACTAGGTGGCGCGATTGGTGCCGAAACCCCTGGTATCTAGTATCTATGTAAGCTCACTCACCCTCAATGGTAGCTCCTGCTTCCTATCCAGCACTGTCTCCGACTTGACATAAAACGCTTTGGTCTCCGCTAACAGCTCTACAGCAGATTTGCGCTTCTGCTGCGGCTGTGGCGCGAGCGAGCGAGGTGTCGCCATCTCTTTCTTGCGCGGCAACTTGAAACTCGCAAACAGTGAGTCCGCTAGCCTACGTCTGAAATTACATTAAAATTAGTAAGCTTTACATGAACTTTTTACTCATCACAATTATACATTATAGTCATATTTGACGGGCTCGTTGGTGTACTGGTCGTGGGTTCGATTTCTACCGGGTGCAACATTTTTCCAATCAGTTGAATATTTTTCAGGCACATGGTTGGGCTTTAACTTAACATTATAAATTGGTGATAGGAATGTCAAAATTCTGTCAGTCTGTGGATTTCTGAATATCCAAAGCCAAAATAGGTCGACCACGCATCTTGTTTAGATGTTACAAGGCTGGGGTATTTCCCCTTCCATCAAATGAAACCCATGCTTGCCTGTCCTCTATCAAAACATAATAATAATATGTATTATTTGAAGACGTTTCTGACTCAAGAACTAGATTGCAGAATTTGCTATCCACTACTTTTATGATATATCGTAAATTTTACATTTAAAAGTTTCTATATATTTAAAATAAAAAAGTTTAAGCGTTCGTCGAACATCTTCGTAATAAAAGTGGGGAAAGAACGAAAGGTTGGGGTTAACCCAAGACCGAATCAGGAATTAGTGTCTACACACACAAAAACATGGTGCCCCACAAAGAGCACCCACCCTCTTCTATCTAAAAACAAATGAACGTACCTGGGAGGCGACTCAAACGAGCGCGAATACGACGCTGCTGCCGCGGCGCCCTCAAACTTTTTCCTAACTTCCTCGACCTTCGACCAGCCCGACTCCACATTTAGGCGTCTCGCGGGTGCTGCCTGCGCCGCATACTTGGCCAGTTCCTCCCTGGTCCGCTTGACTGACACCTCAGGTATGAAATCCCGATGACGCCCGGTTCGCGCATCGTGGCATCTCTCGATGAACTGGCGTCGACGGAGCGTGAGAGTCGAATGGTCTACCTCATCATCGTCTAGACACCTGATGATGAAAAATATAATTATTTTCAGTACACTGCCAAGGTATTTTTTCTTAGATGAGATCATCAGTAGTTCAGTTTAAAATTCCTCCATCTATACTAATATATAAAGCTGAAGAGTTTGTTTGTTTGTATGTTTGAACGCGCTAACTTCAGGAACTACTGGTTCGAATTAAAAAAAATGTGTTGGTTAGAGCATTTATTGAGGAAGGTTATAATACAAAACATTGCACTGTAAGAGAAGCGAAGAAACAGCGGGAAATGTGGATAAAACGGGAAAAACTATTCATCTCTGTGGGTGTCCGATGCGAACTTTGCAAAAGCGGTACAAGATACAATGTGTACAAGAAATTATTTCTTTTCATATGATCTAAAAAATGTCCGCGACACTATATGTGTATTTTTTAAATTAACTTGCAAGTATGTGGACGTCGTCGGTAATATTCGTCGGCTCAAATCAAAGATGAAAAGGAGGTTTAAACAACTTACGCCCAAAACAACTGTTTAACGCGGGCCAAGTCGCTGACACAGTTATTAACTCATGATATGGCCTATCATTGCATAACGTTTAACTCCTTGTTCATAAAATCGGCTCGACACTTTAGGCGCAAGAGTGGAATACACCCACAATACGATTTACTCGTAAATTAAAATCGATTTTAGCACTGGCGGGATTCTAACTGGCGTTCAAAGCGTTCCGTGCTTACTTCAACCAATTCAATCTAAAATCGTCCACGAGAATCATTAGTTTGGACATCCAAATTCGTTTTTGCAAACCCCGTCATCTTTATAAACTTATCGGTTACCCACGACTTCGGTCGTGTCCCTTCCCGTCGTTCTTGCAAGTTAATCTTAAAAGATAGACATATAGCGTCGCGGACTTTTTTTAGATCATTTAAAGAGGAATCATTTTTCATACCTATGTTGTGAGTATCTTGAACCGTTTTCGCAGCGTACGCCTCGAAAACCCACAGAGATGAAAAATTTCCCCCGTTTTGTTTACATTTCCCAATGTATCTTCGCTTGTATTAGTCATAGGGCAATGTGTATAGCCTATAGCCTTCCTCGATAAATGCCCTAACCGACACATTTTTTTTTAATTTGAACCAGTAGTGCCTTAGATTAGCGCGTTCAAACAAACTCTTCAGCTTCATATATTAGTATAGATTATGCAATCATGTGCAATGTGAAAAATATTACAGTTTCCAAGTCTTACTTGGTATCAATCAACAGCAGCTTCACCCAAGCAGTACTATAAAAGGGAATGATATGATAAGCTAGACGCGTTACCGGCAAAACGGGATTAGCAGGTGAAAGTAACCATTCGTAACAGGTTAAACGTTGATTAGCAATCGTCCAAAGGACAACCGTTTAGATATATTGCGTCTAGTTAATAAATCAAAGGGTTTAATGCGATTTTCCGTACCCACTCAGTATTAAAATTTACTAATTTCATCGTTAACAATCAATATTATTGACAAGTTGAATTTTATGTTTCGTTCTTTATTTATTAAACAAAATACAAACGAGACTTATTTGCTAATAATATGGAGGCCAATGAGCAGCCTTATCGCTAACAAGCGATCTCTTGTAGGCAACCCAAACTTTAACTTGCTTTAAAGCTTGTTGATTGTCTAGGCCTTTTCCACCATTATTGAAGATACCTTTAGAATTTGTAATAAATTATTTATTTTAAATAAAAATTTCTTAAAATTCATACATGCAGACTGTATGTTTACATAAATATTTTAATTATGATAGCTTTTAGAGTTTGGGCTTCACGAATAATTTTTACTCCTTAGAAAAAAATAAGATATGCATCGGATGTACGATTTAAGTGAAGGATTGAAACATTAGCTACATTATATTTTCGTCTTTAATAAACCAAAACGCAAATATGTGAGGAATTTAATGAAGGGCAAAGGGTTTGACCTTTAGAGGAATAAGCTCACAATTCCCCCTAATATTTAGGCCTTTGTAGTGCAAGGTTATTTACAGCGTAGGTATCTTCAAATAGTAATACATATATCATAGGGATGTTCCGAGATAAAAGTTCGAATATGGTTTGTAAAAATTATACATATTTGCATTGAGATAGTTATTTACTGACCAAACTTTACTATAGATTTTTTATTGCGACACAGAAGAATGATAACATAAAAATATATCCATGCTTTATGTTTAAATAAATATAAAAGTTTAAGTTACATTTGCAACTTCAAGTTTTCTTGAAAAGCACTACTTTGGCATTTAAATTAGCAGAGATGTGTGTCAAATGTAATCGAACTTTGACATCTAGAACTATAATTTAATTTTTAAAGGATGGTACTTTACAAAGTAATTATTATTTATCTTTAATTTACTTCAATTCCAGGCCCAAGAGATCATTCATTAATAAGAAGTCGTACGATACACGCGCTTGCACTATGCGGATAATTTGAATTGAGTTGACAGTTAAGTTCTTTTTTAAAAATCGAAAAAATTTTCGACTCGGGCAGGACTTGAACCGGCATCGTCAGCTTTCCGTGCTGTTGCTCTACCAATTGAGCTACCGAGTCCTACACCTCATCGTCGAATTTTTTCAACTTATTGATTCATGCACCTATCGCGCAATGTAAGTTAAGTTCTTGCACATCTCTATTCGAATAGCGCCTAACATCAGATGGGGTAACATAAATAGTGACGAAGAAAGCTGCCCCTGATTGAAACTGAGTCGACCGTAAGCCGTGCGGGGTTTTGTTCTTAATATATTTCTGATTACGGCTCGGAATTCGCTAATATATTGCTAAGCTTTCTTGCTTATTAACCCATAAATGTAAATAATTTACATCTGCGTCTTATTTATTAGCAAGGAAATTAGGAATATTTAGGAGATCGATATAGCATCGCAAACAATAAATTGTAACTTGCTGTGGTAATTACAAAGAGGATCTGTCTTAGACCTATTTGACAAGAAAACTTAAATTAAATTAGTCAAAGCGCAGGGACCGCCCAAAGACTTACGCACAAACCATCACAACCATTGTTTTCCAATTGGTACCTGGTACAACTAAAATCTCCCGTTGGTACCGTGTATACGTATGTACGTACGGTATCTATTACAAGTACATACTAGTATTCATTTTTAAAGCATACATTTAAATATGTAAACGTCTATTAGCCTGGAATGGCTTATACCACATACATATACAAAGCTCAATTTTTAATGTTACGTGTTGCGGTAACGTAATATAATTTTATTTGCGTGTATCACCGCTGTCCACATTAAGGACTTGCTGAAAATCAGTTTCAGGTTACCAGCAGCACACAACATTTTTTAAACTGTTAAGATTATGTTTTTGTGTGGCTTATGATAGTAAATCAATTTCTTTCTTTCTAATAAAGGGTAAATTACGTGTTAAGTCATTAGTGGGAAATTAAAGACTCCTATGAGGTGGGCTAATAGTTGGGACGAGAGGGGAATTACCTGGCCGGCTGCGCAAGATGTGACCGGCAGGGCTGGTAGCAGGAGAGTGCGGCCATGTCGCCGTGCTATCGCACACGGCGGGCATCATTCGATTACGCCTCAAACGCCTGCACGCTTCTCGTACCTGGAAAAATAAAATAAAAACCTTTTAACGGTTTTAAACGCGAAATGTATTATACCTTATATTAGCTGATCCGGCGAACGTTCTTTTGCTATTATTACATCATATATTTCGACGAAAATTGATAACCATAAAAACGTAAGTATATAACGCAACCGAACGGAACGCTGACGATGCCGGTTCAAGTCCTGCCCAAGTCGTAAAATTTTTTAATTTATTTTTGATACCCGAAATTCTACGTCGACGAAATCGCGGCCATTGCTAGTAAATAAATAAGTGGTTATTTCAAAATTGCTTGACCGAAAAAGTCTGAATCGTTTCCGTCCGCATAGACCGGGAATAGAAGTGCATTAATATTAAAATAAATTATCCATAAGTAGAACAATGATTTTAATGAAAGTGTTTATAGCACAGGTGTCCTATATGACCATCGCGAGAGCATGAATCGGTGTGAACAAACTCATGGCACAAGATTATATGGTATGATACACCATCCACTTAATAAGTCTTTTTCTATTTCTTTTCTCCTGTTTGATAAGGCCACTTTATTATTTATAACACGTACCACAGAAAAAAATAGATATATACGTAATATGACCTAAAAAATAAAAAAAAAAACCCAAAACCCCCCAAAAAAAAAAAAAAAAAAAAAAAAAAAAAAAAAAAAAATAAATTTTTTCTTTTCTCCCCCTCCTCCCCCAACAATAAAAATAAAAAAAATTTTTTTTTTTTTTTTTTTTTTTTTTTTTTTTTTTTTTTTTTTTTTTTTTTTTTTTTTTTTTTTTTTTTTTTTTTTTTTTTTTTTTTTTTTTTTTTTTTTTTTTTTTTTTTTTTTTTTTTTTTTTTTTTTTTTTTTTTTTTTTTTTTTATTAATATTATTAATAAAAAAAAAAAAAACAAAAAAAAAAAAAAAACCCCCCCCCACCCCCCACCCAAAAAAAAAAAAAAAAGGGGGGGGGGGGGGGGGGGGGGGTGTTTTTTTTAATTTTAATTTTTATTGGGTGGGGGGGGGGGGGGTGTTTTTTTTTTTTTTCTCATTTTTAATGGGGGGGGGGGGGGATATAATTTTTGGTGTGGGGGGGGGGGGGGTGGGCCTTCCTTTTTTTTTTTTTTTTTTTTTTGTTGGGGTGTGGTTTTTTTTTTTTAAAAAAAAAAAAAAAAAAAAAAAAACCCACAGGGTCTTCTCCTTTTCCCTTATTATAAAAAAAAAAAATTTTAATTTTTTAAAAAAACCCCCTTTTTTTTTTTTTAAAAATAAAAAAATTTTAAATTAAAAAAAATAAATTGGGGATTTTGAAAGGGGGGGGGGGGGGGGGGGGGCCCCGGGGGGAAAAAACCCTTTTGTGTTTAAAACCCATTTTTAAAGGGTTCAAAACAGCCCTATTATTAATAATTTATACCACAAAACTAGAAAAGGAAAAAAATCCGTAGTAACTTATAAGTAAAAGGTGGCCTTATCAATCTAAGCAGCGATCTCTTTCAGGCCACCTGAAGTACAGGAGGAAAGAAATCTTAACTGACTGGTGATGAACTTATTGATAGGTATTAATATAACTTATATTAACACAACAAAACAAGTTATAAATACAAATATAAGGTATATTTGTATTAATAACTTATATTTGTAGTTTACCCGACGAAACGTCAAGTTTCCACGATCCGAAGCCAAGACGTATTTTTTTAAATCATTTATCACTTATTCAATGATAAACATATCATCAGGAAGATTTATACTTTTATAATATAGATTTTTATAATAAAGACTTCTCCTGTTTTCTGAGGTAATGCAGATAACGCCTAAAAGTCTGAAGAAGATCTAAAAAGAGTAAGAGCATCGCTCTCAGAAGATGTGTATAAATAATGCATCGCGGAGGGACGTTCACTCGACGATTAGTTTCTATTACACATTGATGTCCCATTGTATTGTAATAATCTCAATAAAATGCAATTGGCTAGAGCACAGAGTGATGCGAACAGTATAACTATTAATACACGCCAGTCATATTTAGATTTAAGATTGACTAAAGTACGTATCGTTTTAAAATTCACACATAAAATAATGTATAATTCACAACAAAAACGTGAGGGCATGGGGCATATTTCCCTGTAACTACAAACGAACAAATATATATTATTTGTAAGTAGTTAAAAATTGTTGAATAGACCTTGTTCTGCCGGAGCGAAAATATTATGTTATTTAGGCCCTTAAATGTCGCAATGTCTAGAAACGCCAAGGCAAAGTACCATTGTTATGACACAATGTAAAAGTAATATGGCTGAAGTAATGTCTGTAGTTCACGCGAGCAAACATTAAAAAGTAATAAGAACAGATGGCGCTAACGTAGCAGATTTGACTTAGACATTAAGAACACCCTTCCATCTTCATTTCCCCCGTGGCCACGACTGCTGCAAAAGTTTTTCAAATGTCGGGCCGAGGTTAGAATAAGTTAACCAATACATTTCGCATTTTAAAACATTAAAAGTATTTTTTATTTTAATAATAAATAGTGAGCTGCAGTTGTTAAAATCCCAACTGTTGCTATTCTTAACTGTGTCTCAAGTCACCGGTAAAAAGTCTGAATACGCGCTTTCTTTATTGCGAAAGTTTTGCTACTTGCATCACTTATTATTTGCTTTTTCGACGTTATGCCTTATCATTACATAAATGAGATTGACTGAACTTAGTTACGTTTTGTCTTTCACTTCTTATATTGCTTCGTCACCATCAAACGTGTAACATGGCTTATGGCAGATTAATATATGGTATGACAGTACTACCATTAAAACGTAAATGTTGGTTAAATGATGATTAAGGGAATATTGTATTTTACGTACGTTAAATTGTCGGCTAATTCCATGAGACTATACTAAATTATTATGGCATCAACAGCGTCATTTCAGCTATTAAGAGGACCGCTCATTTCAGGCCACAAACAGACAATGGACAAGAAAAAATATTTAAAATAAATTATATTACCAGAAACACATACATCTTTACAAAGAATGAAACTTACCAGTTAAAAGCAAAAAAAAAGCAGTAAGTAGGTTTTTTTTAAAATCAATAATTGTTTTTTAATGTATACTTCATTTATTATAAACCCATCGTTTCAGGTACTTTCATAAATATTATTATCAATTTCGCATTTTGGGCAGTTAAAAGTTTCATTTAACGTCTATTACTCAGCATATATTGCAGCAGTTAAATATCTAGACTTTAAAAAAAAACACGGCCTCAACATTGGAGGCGTAGAAAATAATGACTCCAATTTAAAAGTGCACGAATGCAAATTGAAAATTCTATCGAAGCTCCGAGGCTCGCCAAAGGTTCCAAGGGAAATCCTTTCATTAAACGCCGAGTACTGAAACGAAGGATCCAGCCTGAATACTGAATGGCCGTGCATTTCCACGAAAAATGCGGTGTTATGCGGAATTATTAGAGCGAAACATAGCGCATTTTTGTTACAACGATAGTGTATATTAACACTAGCCATATATATTTAGTATGGAATGGTTATATCAATTGTATTTTGTACCTACGTGTTGGATAGCTAATTTTTCGAAAAGCCTAATCCGTTATTCCAAGTTCTACCCTATTTAAAAAATTAAATGAATTAGTTAACAATACGACTTACCCAGTGGGAATCGTACGCATGACCCGTTGGTTTTTAACCATTCCATGCTACCATTGGACCAACAAACCCATTCGTTTTCTGGATATCTCGTTTAAAGCTATGGCTTTTAATTAAAAACAATAGAGATACAAATATTGTTTCTTGTTTATGCGATAAATACACATTGAAATAAAAATCTTTTAACGGTTCAAAACGCGAATATATTACTTAATGCATTTTTAAGACGTTTTGAAAACTTTCCACCCTTCATCTGCATTCCCCCGTGACCACGGCTTCTTCAATTATTGAGTCTGGTATCTTATTGCGGTCAAGTGTGTGTCTGTAACACAATAAAAAGCGTATCAAAGCATTAACATTTGGGTAATAGGAGCGTGGCGTGCGTGAAACAATAATAACACGAGGCATGAATTCTAGCATTTTAAAGAAATTACACTTTGCAATTAAGCTAACGGTTGCAAAATGAATTAACCTTGAATTGTAGATATAAAGTAGATGTATTGTTTTATATGAATTTTATAGAATATATCGCGTTTTAAACAGTTAAAGTGGTTTATTTAAATCTATACATTCGAAGTTCAAAACACCTTCCTAATTCTTAGCTATTTATCCTTTTCCGTTAAATGTCTCTCATTCTCATCATTTTGTTATTGTCTTGACTAAGGCGATATTATATCAGAGTGTAATACTCCCATACAGTAAGTATGTCGAGCTCTGTGCATTGGCGTCTTGAAAATTATGGGCATTAATTATTCTAAAGCCCGCATTGTTAGGCCCATTCATATTCAAAACAAGTTTTATCTAACATAGACAAGAGAGGGGCCGCCTCATAGATGCTAATCTATGGCAGAGTGCACCGTACAATAAAATAAGGTAAGCAATTTGAGAATAATTGTGTTAGTCAATTGTTCTATAGACATTCATAGTATAAAAAATTCATGTTGAGAATAAAGTCCTAACAACTCACATCATCAACATGACTTCTGAAAAATAAATAATTTCAACAGACGCAATGAGTGATAATTCATTCAGTATCCATACTAATATTATAAAACTCTAGAATTTGTTTGTTTGAACGGCCTAATCTCAGGAACTACGTGTTCGAATTTAAAAATCTTTTTGTGTTGGTTAGAGCATTTATCGAGGAACATGCTTTCGGCTAAAAAATTCGCGATTAATAGAAGCAAAGAAAAGAATTTCCGTAACTGGCTGGGTAACCGGCTGTAATTTATAAAGATGAGAATGTCTGCAAAAATAATTTTTTATGCAGAAAAGTTAAAAGTCAATTTAATTTTTTGTCTAATTA